AAGTATAGCTGTGTAAGGATGGGTGTAGTAGTGTTTGTCCTAATTGTTGAGGACAAACGCTTGTGGTACATGTGTGTGTAGGCCTACCGGTACAATAATTACCAGGCCAGTTAACATGGCCGGGAAGTTGAGTTGAACATTGAGATTTCAGTGAAGTTGTAGACTTCATTAAATTTCTTGTTCTTTTTATCTGGTTCATGACCACTATATGCCTCCATCCCTTTTTATGGTCTTGAGTCTAGTTACCAGAGTTAAAGCGATCACTGATAGCTGGATTGCAGCATCAGCAAGACTGACAATCTAGCACTGAGTTTACACTTGATTCGGTGAGGAGGATCAGATCCGGCACGGGGGATCAGATCTGGATCAAAAACGTGTGTAAATGCAGCACTGGATCAGATCCTGATCCCGGGATGTGATCCTCCTCTCGGGAAGGATCAGTACTTGACCATTCTCATGCTTTATCCATGTCGCCTTCAGTGACTTTCGTTACCGCTGCATATCGCTGATCCAAAACCTTCCATTTCCCCATTTTTCATTGTTTCATCTGAAACTACGTAAGATAAGACAATGAGACGTATATATACATGTACAGCACGCTTGTACACGTAATACTGGCTCACATTTTGCTCCAGTGTGCATAATCAGTGAACTATTCGCATAACCTTTGCCCTGAGGTTGCAGCGCTTCATCGATGCCACGCGGGACTAGGATCCATCGTAAACATGGCACGGATCTGATCCCCTCACTTGATTGCTCTCGCCGGATCTGATCCTCCTTTACAGGATCAAGTGTAAACACGGCGTAGGTACACCAAACCAGCTGGGTAGTTTATGAACTTGTTAAAGGGTACATGTACATGTAGCTGCAGTTCTATTTTTTAAAATTTGAACCTCCAAAAAGCACCTTTATCTTAGTTAACCTCATGTCCAAGTTTTGTTTCACCTTTTCAAGGGTTAAAGGGTATTTTGCTTCCTTTTGGATTTCTATGCTAATGAGATTTCCATATTCATTATTAAACTTAAACTGTTATGTCATCTCAGCAAGAGTATCATGTTGTGTAAGTTTGTACCATATATAAAAACTAGAGCGCTGACTTGTGTTCAAAGTGATGCCTGCTGGGTGCATGTACATGTACCAGTACATGTACATGTAGGTGTGTGCACAAACCTACAGAAAACTCAAAATGTTGTATGGCTTTTGTACAGCTATTTGCATACGTCTGTATTCTAAAATGAAAAGTCAGTAAAGCCGAGATGCCAAACAAGCTAAATGTACAACCAGTAAATGGCTTTTTCATTTTGTGTACCGTAGCTCCATGGTCTGTACACAGAATAGCTGCTGAAGTTTTAAGATTTTACTGGCCTCCATTTTTCTTGGGTAATTCATTGTTTTTTAAGTACATAGCAAGCATGCAATCCTTTCTCAGAAACGTTTTCATTGCATTAATATTCCTCAGGTGACATCACAGCAACAGCGCCCTCAGTTGTCCAGGAAAGCATGGGCAATTCTAACGTTTTAAAAATTGCACTTTTCATTGCATTTACATGTAAATGAAAAGGGATGGCAAATAATATTCATCCATTGGAGAAGAGTATAAACTTGAAGAACAATGGGGTGTAAGAAAAATTAATTGATGCTACACTTCAAAGTTAAGAGCTAGAGGTACTGGGACCAACGTGGGAATTACAGTTTGGGTACATAGCAGAAGGCTAATTGACTTCCTTTTTTAATGAATTTGGAAGGATGTCAAAAGAAGAATGGAGCTTTCCTGTCCTCAGCTTGAATGAACCATAGTTCAGTAGTTTTAATTTGAACAACTCTGTGGTTGTGGTACAATCCCTTGTGTGTTTACCCAGCAACAATTTCAGATGCCATGAAGTATACATTGTACAATGTACCTGCAGTGAGGGTGGAGCAATAGATGACTCAGCCAGGCATCAGTGTGTGTGTAGGATCAAGTACTGTAATAACACATCACAACCCCCTTGAGTGAGAAATATCCAACTGTTCTGTCATCCTTCCACATCAGATAAACACAGTCATGAATTTACATGTACCTGTTGTCACAAATATACCGGTATGTAATCCACTTCACTTCAAGTAAACAATATAGTATTTTCGAGTAAAGAATTATGCATAGTTGCTATTTTAAACAATATACATGTACATGTATTTACCTGAATGCATAATTTATATGTATTTACAGTGACCGGCAATCTACATGTCGTAAACTTTAGAAATTTAGAGCTGCAAACTGAGTTGCAAATGATCTGTGCATTCAAAGAAAAGGAGACATTTTAAAATTCTTTTTCTAGTGTTGATTACAAAGCTATTGTATGTTGTCACAGTAATCATTTAGGTTAACATTGACAAATGTTATTGCAGAATTTCATCTCAACAGTTCATACATGTAGTCTAGTAGAAAATATTGTACAGAACATCAAAGGTGACTGAAAGGCTAGGCAGGATTTTAAAAATGCAGCAAATACAGACAACCATATGCAAACATACTCTTGTTCTTCAGCTTATAAATGCACCTGCATCTTTAATTGTTGAAGCCATTTATTTTAGTGACAGTGTCCCCTCATTCAGTAATGGGGAATACAGCTGTACCTGACAGGTGTATTGATTTTAGCATAATGCGTGCCCATCTGCATTGTGCAGACTACATGTACATGTACATGTACATGTACAGGTTGAGATATTGCTACTTGGCTGTACCTGCTGATCATTGATCATATATAAACATGCACATGTACTAGTACACATGAACAATCATAATTACTAAGATCTCAGTCATGGTACATATTCTGTACAGATACATTTTCTGTGCACTATACGGTTAAATGTGTGACACTTATACAGGACGTATGCGATATGTTTGTCACTGTGACTATTGTTTTGAGGAGTGTCAGCCAATTTTGTTGCTGCATTATACAGATGTAAATAAACATGCAGATGAATTCTTTTGCCTTTTCACTATTTTCAAGGTGTAGAATATACATGTACGCATAAGCCTGTAAATGGGACTCTGCGAAATATGAACTTTTTCGTTTCAAAATGTTCTGAAGTCAAACTACCTGTTTCAAGAACTGTTTTTATCCGCATTCAGTTTGCATGTACTCCGCGAAGAACTGTGAAACACTTCTTAATTTATTTTATTTATGATTTAAATTTCTTGTACAGTGTATGTACTGTATTCTCATGTATTCATTCTCCATCATTCTGTGTGAGTTCCAGTGTTTCCTTGTACATGTACTTGGATATTTTGTTGTAATTTGTTCACTTGTATCTCTCTACACTCGACAGGTCAAACACTGAATAAAGACCTACGCCGATATCTCAACATGCGTTTTCAGAAGGGTTCGGTGGACCATGACTTACAACAAACCATCCGTGAAAACCTCTACGTTCGTACTGTGCCTTGTAAGTACATACATGTATATCCTACTGGTACCTGTAGTGTCTCACATCCTTCCCCCATACATGCACCTGTACAGACATGCACCTGTACAGACATGCACCTGTACAGACATGCACCTGTACTCTGTACCATAACATTTATGAATGATTGTATCTGAGCACTGATGAAATCCAAAAGCAATAAACTTCCAAATACCTAGTAATATTCAAAGGGTATCTACATGTATGGCTGACAAGCAATGTTTCTCATCAGATACAAGTTTCCATAAACATCCACACACTTGCACTGACTTTAGTGATAAGTACCTAGACTACATGTATGCACCAGTATAGAAACCTTTTAAGGGATGCCAAGTCTCATTTAAAATGAAGGTGGTGGGATTACATGTACCTTCTTCAGTCAAAAAACTTCCAAAACCTGCTGGTGGGTTTATTAAAGTTTTGCAAAGTTATCAAGTGATCTGAGCAATTTCAATTATTCCAATACAATTATTTGTCATTTAAAATGAATCTTTTAAATGGTCGAGTCAATATCTTTTATTTATCTTACAATACATGTACATGTACAATTCATGGTATGGTTGAACAGAGAAAGTGAAATCTTCCCCCCATACATATACAGTACATGCACCTGTGCATTCATGGGCACTGTTTGCTACTATGGTTTACTTTAGGTGATGTAGCAATGTGTATTAGAGCATTAATTTGTTTTGAAACTTCTGGGAAAGATTCAAAGAGGAACAGATCTCAAGGCATTGAGTAGATTTCACTCATGCATAAACTTGGCATTCAGCTTCCTGCACTAACACACAATTCAAATGTGAATGATAAAACTCTATTATTTGACGTTCTATTTTCATTTAAACAAGAAATGAGAAGAAGTCACTTGCTAGAAAGCCCATGTAAAAGGCTTTAGAAAAACAGAAATTGGTGGATAACATTGTCAGTGTTATTTTGGCTGAATGCATTGCGCACACTACTTGTACACGTACTGTACATGTACAATCACCTTTCATCATATTTCAAACACCAAAAACGGCATCCCAAAGAGGGGGCCATGGCCTCTGCTGAGACACCCCTGGATCTACCAATGCTTCCAACTGATAAACAAGCTAGGTATCATGAATGGTCACTTGTAAATAACATGTTGTTGACAGTATATCTCTGTTAAATGCTGCATTGCCTTAGCCAAACAACATTGCCAATAACTTACTTTTGGTTTCAATGATTGGAAGTATATGTACATGTACAATGTAAATGTGCAGTATGTTAGTGTACCATTTGCAGTGATTACATCATTACATAGCAAACAGGAAAGAAATGGCAATGTTGGAGTCATAAATCTGTCTTGTTTAAATGAGTCTATAGGGAGCAATGACAGACACATTCCAACCAGTTGATTCACTAGCACCACAAGGCTGGTGTTTGTCTCTAGATACCCAAGGGGGAGGGGTCTTCCACACCAGACCAGACTGTGTGTTAGGCTGCCTCCTTCATCAAGATATTGCCATGGTAACCCCAAGTGACCTGTAAATGAGTGGGAGGTCAAGTGAGAAGGCCCTTGACCTGACCTGCTTTGTAAGACATACATGTACATGTGTACATGCACATTGTTCATGAATTCAGGCTGCACATGTAAGTTGTATCAGTCCATCAGACTCACTGCACCAGATGTGGATGTGTGGTACAGGTAATATGGGCAGTGGTTTGTTATGATTGGGAGCAGTCTGTCTCCCACATCACTCTCAATTTATTTCGGTGATGTGTCAACAAGAGTGTTTGAATTAGTTACCATGGTGATGTACTACACGTACATCTTTCGCTGTCCCAGTTGATACCAGCCTGTAAAATTACTGTGCATTTACAAAGATAGATTCTGAAAACAATCTTTCTTCAGATCAAGCTGCTGAAAGGTTTTGGTCTGCCTTCACATGTACGACACAAAAATGGTAGCATTTGCAACAAGTTAAATTGAAAGTTATTTTATAATGTGCATACATGTTCATCATACAATGTATATATACACATGTACATGTACAGGAAATGTCAATCAGTAAATGGACATGTACAATTACCCATGTAGCTGTATGCAAAATTTGAAATGGGCTAAATGTATCTCACAACATCCAAGAGCTACGTGCTTTGGTGCTCCAATCAACAAATTCAAGAGGCAGATACCAGTTCATGTACTGGTATTGTTGAAAAGCTGTTGTTGGGTACTAACTACAGGTAAAAAGGGGGATCACTCTCAGGGCAGTTTCATAAAGAATTGCCTGACCTTTTATAAAAGCCACCTTTCCTTAAGCTTGAATTTTCCTGTGCGATATTGTAAAGAATCAGTTGACCTGATCAAATGACCTTTTGGATTGACTGAGCCATCATTCTCAGGTAGTCAGACTTTTCAAAGCTTCACATAGCATTAGCAATTAAACTTCTTATTGTTACCAGTAAAAACGTCTTTTTGTGTCAAGAAATTGATATCAGAGACCACGCATTAACATGATTTACTTCCACTCCATGGTGTAGTTGATACCAAGCAGCCTGAAGAATTAACTTTTCCATCTCTGAATTTACATGTATTCTTTAGGAATCACCAACAAACTCCTCTTCAAATAAACATTTTGACCACTTTAGTTTTATGCACAAACTGTGGAACAGTTGCAGTACTGGAGTCGTACCAGTAACATGTACAAGTACAAAATACACACTGTTCAGTTACAATGGATGCATTTGTACTGTACGCATATACTAAAATTTTCAAGAAAAGTCGAAGTTTCAGGAGAGCCCGTACATGTACATGTACTGTACCATTATGTCCTGGCCATGGACTAACAAGTTATAACATGAAAATAGACAGGCATTGGTACAGATTGTAGATTAGTATTATGTCAGTTTGTATGGTACGTTTGTAGTTTGTGTTATGTACAGGAAAACTGTGACAAGAAACAGGTGTTCTACCAGGTACCGGTACATGCATACTGTGAATTTGGAGCTTTAGTTACCGGTTATAATAATAAACAGTTCTTATAAAGCGCATAATGCTACCGGTATAAAGTCCATACATGCTACCCCCCCTGTATATTTTCATGATCTCTGCACATTGGGTTCATGAAAGCAACTGAAACCATCTGACCTCCCTGGGGAGTACATGTATATGTACATGTATACTAGCCTGATGCTGCCATATCAGTCACAAACGGCTAAACATAACCATATCTGCCCTCATAGATATCCATTCACTCTTGAGTGGAGAGGGGCACATGTGCGTAAAGTGACCTGCCCAAGATCACAACATGCTGCCATCAACTGGATGTGGTCCCCCGACCCTGTTCGACAAACCCTAACCACTCCGCTTCTTGCCTCCGCTTTATTGCCTTGTACATGTACCTGTAGGTAATGTACTGGTACATTGTGTTTATGTTTGCTGCAGTATTCTTAACCAACTAAAAGGATACTCATAAATACCTGGGATAGTTTTTCTATTCCTATTGGTTGAAATATGTCTCATGACTGTGTATTAACATTTGATAATGCCTACCGAGAAGTGATAATGCCCGCTGCGTAAATCACGCACTGGCACATGGGGGATATACATGTAAGATAGTTTAGTCGGGTCTGATTGGTCAGGAGTCTGTATGCATACCAGTGTTGTATCCGAGACCTTGATGTCCAAGACTGAGACCGAGACCAAGGCATACGAGACCCAAACCGAGACCTACATGTACTCTTTCAAGACCAAGACCAGGACTTTGAGACCACACACACAAATACATGGACAGGTCAAATATGAAGAATGTCTCAATTCTTTTATCAGTGATACTGCTCTACTTTCACATTTTCAACCCAAGTGTCCCAAATGATATGATGTGAACATTAAAACAAATATCCTTCGACTGTTTTCTGTAAGCAAAATATTGAAAAACAAATATTTTAAGAAAAGATGTACCGTAATGAAACTACTAAAACAACTTGCACCACATACAAGATGGAATGAAAGCACTCTCACATGTGCACACAATTCATAGCATGCGCACACACACAGACTGGTTCCTGTCCCGGCCCTACGTTCAGCAGGAGACCAGTCTAGTGCGCGAATTGCGCTACTCACAACCTGATCTCCATGGTGTCAAGCAGCATGGCTACTCTGGATTGGAATAAAGTAACAACTTGGGACAAGTTGCATCATGCTGCATTGACTAGTCTTCACTCCAGCATCGATTTCATTGTTTCTTGCAAAAAATCTGAACATTGCTGTGTTGTATTTATATCAATGGTTAAAGATTTGATTTGAGCAGAGGCAATTTGCCTTTTGCAACTGCGTGCGTGGTAGCGAGATGTGCATTTTGTTATGGTCTCGACTGGTCTCGAGGGGGAGACCTGAGGCTATGGCATCCGAGACCAAGACCGAGACCGGCACTTTCAAGACCGAGACCGGCCCTCCCGAGACCGAGACTTTGACAAGGCGAGACCGAGACTGCAAAAAAAGGTCTCGAGACAGTCTCGAGACCTACAACACTGGTGCATACAATATGCCACGCGTGCACCATGTTCATTGAAGGGATTCTAGTGGACAACTTTAAATTGAATATACCATAAAACGGATGGGAGTTTTCGGGAAAATGAAAGTAAAGTTTTAGAACAAAATCTTTGGAAATCCATCACATGTTAACTTCTTTTGACTCTCTGAATCAAACAGTATTTATGAATGGGAGATTAATATGTGCTTGGCAGGAGAACAAATGCTGATAATGCCCTCGCCTGCTAGTTGCATCCATTTGCCTAGACCAGTCTTAAACAACGCACGTTTAATTGTATCCATTTGCCTGTGCCAGTCTTAAACAACGCACGTTTAGTTGTATCCATTTGCCTGGGCCAGTCTTAAACAACGCACGTTTAGTTGTATCCATTTGCCTGGGCCAGTCTTAAACAACGCACGTTTAGTTGTATCCATTTGCCTGGGCCAGTCTTAAACAACGCACGTTTAGTTGTATCCATTTGCCTGGGCCAGTCTTAAACAACGCACATTTAGTTGTATCCATTTGCCTGGGCCAGTCTTAAACAACGCACATTTAGTTGTATCCATTTGCCTGGGCCAGTCTTAAACAACGCACGTTTAATTGCATCCATTTGCCTGGGCCAGTCTTAAACAATGCACGTTTAAGTCTTGCCAAGCACATATTTATTCCCTTATTAAAAATTGCTCTGTTAAAAGAATGATACACGTACACTCTTATACAGGTACATGTACATGTATGTAGTCTTAAATTGTGCTCTTCAATTTGGTTCCAGTTCTGATACACTTGTCAGTGCCTGTCAATAATAACCCATGAGACATGACCAGCAATGTGGGTATGTCACTGGTGTTTAGATGCTCCCTAGTGAACGCTTACTGTAGCTTCAGAAATGATTCCATTCCTGCTGTCTTTGAGTAGTAAACCGAAGCTTTATGTATACGGTATGTACATACCGGTATGCCCACACCTCTCAATATTATGCATTGCATTCGTGATGTTGAACATTTCTCAGTTCTTAAAATAGATTGGGGTTCTTATCATCATGTCTTGATATAAAGCAGTTGTGAAATCTATCAATTTTTTTCTGAAATAACAAACACATGTTCACATGTACATGTACAGTAGTTGAACAGCTTCATGCTATTCTTTTGATCTTTCTTTTTATGACAGAATCATGTACCATTGGGGGAAAGATTTTTCACTTTGTTATCACTTTAATTTATGACAATAGTGGCAGTACTATAAACCTTAAAAGAAGTACATTTATACATGTCATTTTAAAGTATGAAGCCTCATACATGTACATGTAGATCCTTTGAGTCTCAGTGTTATCTTTGTAGTTACAACATGCAGTACAAAGGTTTGATGTAATCCAAAAAGTTGTGATGTCAGATTGTAGAATGACATTTGAGAATCATTCTTGCTTATCCTGTAAATGTATACCTCATCCCATATTTGCAGGTACAGTACATGTACAGCTGTTGTACACACTGCCGCAGGTGTGCTTAGTTTAGATCAGGGGCCGATTTCATAGAGCTGCTTAAGCACGAAATTTGCTTAAGCATGAAAAAACCTTACTTAAAAAACAAAGGTTACCAGCTCAAACTCTGTCTGATTGTCATGCTAACCTTAATGCCATTCCAAAACAATACAGATCACATGGAGTTTGGGCTAGTTACCTGATTTATCAAGCAAGGTTTTTTTGTGCTTAAGCAGCTCTATGAAATTGGCCCCTCAGGTCAACATCCTCACTTCAAATAACATATTGTGTTTCACCACTGGCCAAAAACATATTGTATGTGATTTGGCATTTGATTTTTTCAATACAGGTACAACAAGAGCTCCCCGAGAAGGAGAAGTAGATGGAGTGGACTATAAATTCCTCTCTGTGGATGAGTTTATGGCTCTGGAGAAGAGTGGACATCTTTTAGAAAGTGGTGTGTTTGATGGTAAGGAAAACAATTGAATAGAAAGTGCAGTTACAGTGCCAATAACTGAGCCAGATTCTTCTCAAAGACATTGTTATCTTTCAGTTTCAGCAGTTTTAATTCACTTTACAGATCTCAGTTCAAGGTTGTTGACTTACATGTATTTCTTGGCCAGCATTTATTGAGAAAAGAAATACGTGTATCTTTACAATGGAGTTTACATTTGTAGAAGTTTCAATTTTTTAATGTACCGGTACATACATGTATAGTATGGGAAAAGTATCCATGCGCTGTGCTGTAATGTAATTTGAAATATTCTGGTAGTCATGAGTAATCTTGGTATTTATGTTACCATCCTGTAAGCTCTGTCAGTTACTATTTGAATCTGGAGGGTGATATAAATCCAGTGGAATTCTGTCTGTCAGCTCTCCTAACATGGCCTTGTAGACAGCATGGTGGCTGCGGTTGTTGTGAGATGCTTTGATCTTGAGCTAGAGAACCTCCTGGGGTGACTGCTGTGTACTCCAAGCAAAGGGCACTGCTGGTGTTCTCGCCTTCCTTTGTGTGAATTGTCAGACTTGTGCCACTTGTTTTCAGCAATGGTAGCCATATGCTGAACGGTATCTAAACTTGGAAAAGATCTCCAATTGTGGAAGAAATCTGTCAACACTGTCTGCCAGTCATTTGTGCTCTCTTCAGTGTCAGGCTGTGGACTGTAGACTATATAGCTCTAATGTTTGGTGGTGTTTACCCTTGTCAGTCTTTGAGGTCAGCATAACTGTTATCCATCTACACCATTTAGCTTACTTTGTTGCCATCATGATAGCCACTGATATTCAGCATTTATTTGTAAAAGGTAAGTCATCCGGACCAAATTTAAGGTTTTCTTCAGTGTTGTTGATAAATTCAAATTTCAAAATGTGAGTTCAAGTGGGTTTTATCTTTTCACATGTCACTGAAGTCCTTTTTTGAAGATGCCTTTGTTGAAATTCTACTTGGGCATATTTATTTGCTGAATCAGCGTTTCCGTTCACTGAGTTTTATGATCTGCTGGCCATGACTTTATCTACATACATGTACATAAATTAAAACCAAATACAAGATACATGTACATGTAACTCCACCACAAGGCATAGCAGATAGGCCTACCAAATTGAGCCATGATATAGTACATGTATGTCTGTGCATGTAGGTCTACTGTCAAGGCCGGTTTTGTTATTTAAAAATTTACCGTCTAGCTGACATATCTATCAGTAAGTCTACCGTATGTACTAGTAGGCCTCCCATACCTGGTTAGCTAGTGTCAGTATGGGAAGGGGAACAAGACACCATGGAACTAGATTTGTGTTGTTCTGGTACATGATCAAATTATTACTACATGTATCTTAAAAGTAGTGGTGTAGACTGCTGAGGGAATTAATTATTAATGGCATTGGTAAGAGCATGAAGTAGTCAAGGAGAGTTTGGAGCAAAGACACTGGTACTCGATTACCCTTAGACATTGTGTCCCAAATAGAATCCCACCTGTGCTGTGGTCACTCCACTTCAGAATCATTCAGGTGACACCCAAGTGGTGGATTAGTTTTTAGTTTCCTTTAATATTGACCCTTGGAAATAAATGATTCTTTAGAGTCAAAAGTATTACCAACAGCAAAGAATATTCACATGTTCAGTATTGTAAATTAGGTATGATACGTGTACATTTCTGGACATTCCTAACACCATAAAGCACTGGTATGTATGTAGACTCACTCAGGTTTATGTATTTGCTTTGCTATGTATTGTCCATTTTGCTAACTGAGAATGCTATGGTACATGCATGTCATACTGTTTGTGGAAACTGGGAAATGTTGTGAAGTGCAGATCTGTGTACTTGTTCCATTAATAGACATTGATTACTGCCAAGGACATGTTGAAATTTTCCTTGAGCTCTTGAATACATGTACTTGAGAGGATGGATGGAATCATGGATTTAATTGCTCCTTTTATAATGATCAGGAAATGACCCTGCTGGTATTGTGTTACTAAGCCCTCTGGCAGGAGAGGGATGTTAGGCTTTTGAGTTTAATGACCAATATGGTAATTATAGTGGAACGTCGCTATACCGAACACCACTATACCAAACATCATCCTTGGCTCCAATATTTTGTGCACAAAACCTACTGAAGATTATGCAGTTGCAAATCAACCAAAATTCGCCATAGCATACATCACAGATCGATCCTGAGCGGTAGCTTCTGACTTTTAGGATAAACTAAATATCAATTTTGTAACTCAAGATTTAAAAAAAGCAAAAATAATTAATAGATACATTTCTAGACACCTCAAACATGAATAAAATGGCAAAACATCACAAAAACAACGAATCATAGTATCACAAGAGGGTGCACTTCAGTTAGACAAGAGAGGGTGCTATTTAACATACATGTAGCAACGGAACGTTCGGCAGTTAATTTCGCTATACCGAATGACCTCTTTTGTACCGAACATTTCACGTGGACCCCATTGTGTTCATTATAGCAGTGTTCCACTGTACATCCTAGGCAGGTGGGTAAAAGATATCTGGCTGATGGCAAGGTGATCAGATTTTCTTCTTTGTTGTCATGTATTGTCCTCTATTTTGGAATATGCAGTGCTTTAAATGTTGGCAACCCCTGAGTAATATTTTTTATATTTTACAATGAATCATCACGTGCTGATGTAATAAGTTCAGATCTACCGGTACATGTACCAGTGAATCATCAGCTTTTTAAGTTAAAGTTTTGATGATTTATTGTCTTGGTCTTGCAGGCAACCATTATGGTACCCCCAAACCACCTGCCAAGCCACCCCCAGCCCAATCCCCTACGTCATCTTCCTCTCCACCACCCCCAGTTCAGCATCCCCAGCAGAATAACTCCTCCAGCACCAGTCCAAAGAGGTCAGCCGTCCACCGGCCTGGCGCCAAGCCCTCGGCACCTGGTAAACGCCAGAGGAATAAGTCCACGATAGAAGCCACCACACTGAACTCTGACCCTCTGGATGAGGAGGAACAGAGGCGGAGAGAAGAAATTCAGAGGGCGGAAGAAGAATTAGGAGACTTACCACTGAATTGGGAGATTGCTTTCACTGATCAAGGAGACATGTATTTCATCAAGTAAGCATGCACTTGTAAGGAAAAAAGAGGGTATGCCACCCCTGAATCATTGGGCTGGGGACAGCACTGATTCAAGCACCCCTGGAATCTATCAGCTACATGTAAATGTAACTTAATCCCGGTGCAAATCCATCCTTCGAAATAGTTGTTCGCGGTACATGCTGCTACGTCTGACTTGAACCAGCCAGCTGACACTGGCAAGCTCGCTGGTTGAGTGGTTAAGACCTCTGCACCAGTAAGCAGGAGTCCCACCCGAGTACGCTTGTGGTTTTTTTCACAAGCCTTTTGGGGGAAAACACTGAGTATACAGTGTGGTAATACATGTCGGGCAGGGCAAAAATCCAAAATTAATCCCCCATCAACCCTAACCATCCTCAATCCTTCAAAATCTTCCGGGTGGTTTTGGAGGATTTGGAGGATTTTAGACCTTGTGTTGTTTATGTTTAGCCATGCATAAATTCATACCCACATTATATGAGAAATCCTCCACACTGCTCCAGGGTACCATTCACACTGCCTCCACATCATGAGAGGAATTGCCAGAGGATTTTGAAGGACTGAGGCTGTATCCAATTTTTTCATGGGGCAGTTGCTAGCCAAAAGGGCCTAGGCGGTTAGGGCTAATCTGGTCACAACAGTGCCTAAGTAAAACCTTTGACTTGGATTCTTGTTTCCGTAGCATTTACTAGAATTGAATAGTTCTGTTTGCCGTGGAAAACCTGCCATTCCCAGGCAGACTCATTGGCACCAACTGTACTTGCTTAAGGACTTGTTCATGCAGAACCATTGCTTGATACAGTTGAAGCAAGGGACAGTATTTTCAATACCAAACTACCAGTATAGTAAACAAGATCACAATGCACAAGATAAAATGTTTTAAAATGTGCATGTTGGAGAATCCGTACTATTGATTAATGGAATTAAGTTTCGATTCTCTTTTGTTCCATTTTCAACTTTACAGTCATGTGACTGAGACTACCCAATGGCTGGATCCCAGGCTAGAGCATAAACCAATCAAAGACTTATTGGATTGTGATGACGACGGTGAGCACATTCCTCATGCTAACTCTGACAACCAGGGTTTGTATTTTGTTGAGTATTACTTTGGCCTGTGCATGCTGTCATTTTCACCCAGTGTGTATCTGCAAGCACCGTCTACTAACTATTCATATAGCATGTGGCACATAAGTTACATTTTGGAGGCTTCTGTTGGCAGAGAAAATTTGTTTCCTGTGGGGGGGCTGTTCTTACTGGTCAGAGTTCAACGTAGTTGCCAATAGGTCAACTCGATAAATCAGAGGCCAACTGCTCTGGACAGAGGCCATCTGCGTGGATCAGAGGCCAACTCCTCAGGAAAGAGGCCATCTGAGTAGATCAGAGGCCAGCTCCTCAGGCCAGAGGTCAACTCAGTAGACCAAAGGTCAAATGTACAGACCAGAGGCCAAATCCACACGCCAGAGGCCAACTCTGTAGACCACAGGCCTAATGTTTAATTCAGAAGTAAACTTATTAGGCCAGATGCTTACTCATTAAGAATCCACCTCAAAGTCAAGAACACTTTCTGGCCACAAGCCTCACTAGCCAGCGTAACACTGTCATACTGCAGTGTAGCTGGTGCTTGACATGTAGAAGCCAATTTGGCATGCAGACAACAAGCTACGTGTAACTCATGAGCAAGGAATCTACTTTCTTGAAAAGAGTCCTTCTGACTAGCCAGGAGTTCACATCTCAAAAGATTAGTGTGAATAGCCAGAAGTCTATCTAGCCAGAGTATAACTCACATGTCACTCACATGTACCGGTAGAAACTTGTTGCAGCCAAGACTCCCATGAACAAGTAAGAGACTCACTTGTAGCTAGAGGCTGCCTTGTGAAATGTCTCTCATGCCAGCAAGAGACCCTCGCAAGTGCCCAGGATTCTTTGGAAATAGTCACCACTCCACTTAGCATTGACTTTAACCAAAGAGATAGTGAGGGAAAACGATAAATCGTCTATTGTTATGATTTTAGCCAAATTATCTGGTGATTTTAATGAAGAAAGTTCCTGCAGCAGTAGCCGCCCCTGTTTGAAATGGTGTCATTAGCAGGTGTCTAATAAATACAACGCCTAGGATGGTCTTATTGCATGAGATGTTTCTTTAGATGGGGATGTGTAGAGTGAGTACACGGTATGCGGCACTTGGTCTGTAAGGAATCTGTAATCTTAATGACCCTGAATGCTGCTGTAAATGCACATTGAACCTCACTGATTAACTTCATGATGCGCCATTAAGACGTGTAGGAAATTAAATATGCAAATCAGTAATTGAGAGATGGTTGCCAAGGTTTTTTGGCATTTGTACTTTAACATTTTTGCTGACTTTAATATGTTTTTGTTTGTGGAAATGGCTGAAAACAAAAGTGTATGAAGGTTGGTGTTCACCTCAGGAAAAATTTTGATTGTAGAGTTTGCAGATATTCTGGTAATACCATGTACCTCCGGTAACATCATGTACCGTTGTGGTATTAAAAAAACAAACTGTATTGGGTGGCTTTACCTCAGTACCGACCAATTCAGTATCATTCTTAAGCGAGCAGGTGCAAGTTGGGTACTTTGTATACTTTTATGTAGAAAATCAAAACGAAGCTGAGGTGAAGAGAAAGACTCTACCATCTCAGGGGATATATGTAGAGTCATAAACCTTAAACATGGCTTGTGAAGCCAACCAATGTGGCTATCTAGCTATTAACTTTGCATCAGAAATCAGGTATAGAATGAGTCTAGATCATGCTTCAAAATCCTTCCAGAACACTTTACCTTCTACTCGTAGTGTGTACAATTAAAAGAAAACTTTCTTTCCAAAAATTGAATTGAAGATTGAATCATTTTTTTAGTCATCACTGATCACATTAAATAAGTTTCTGTAAAAAAGAGTAGGCATGGGAAATTTCAAATACCGCGGTATTGTTTTCATGATAACCAAGTAGCCTATAATCCCCATACTGTGCGAGCTTGTGTATACACGTATTAATGACCACATAAAAACTAGGATTAATTATGTACATGCACAATGACACACAGGGTACGTGGCCACGTACATGTATGTACTTACAACATGTACGTGTGTCATTTTGGCTTGAAAGTACAAAATTGAAAAATATTACGTAGGTAAAAGAAATTTCATTATACAAGTACATATTCACAAAATTAAAATATGGAGAACAACAAATAATCTAGAAGAGTCACAAACAAGGGTAAAATTGAAAAATGTATAAGTAATAAGACTAAAAGATTGAAGGACTTGGGCAGTTACGAGGATTTCTGGTTTGTAGTATGCAGCAATGTGACAAATTGCTCATATGAATAATCCACTGTTATTTCTGAGAAATCAGTATTTGAATTTTGGAGGGGTGGATAACATGGTCAAATACATTTAGACAAGGCGCATGCAGAGAATGTTTCAAACAACTGAATATGATGTTGCTCTAGCAATTGTAACCAAAGATGATCAAGAACTGATGAGGAACCTTCAAATATGAAGACTCACTCTTGGTTTGTACTGGAGTAGTATTTCTTGAGAATCTGATGAAACAATGTACATGTAGATGGTTATTAACTCATTCGTCCCTTCACCCGTTCATGTAACCCATCATGCATATAACAGGTGTGATTCTCACTGGCCCAGCACTAGTGCATGTTTTATATGGGATGATGTTTGTTTCATTGTATATGAATTCATAGGAGCAGCTAGTTAGAGCATGTAGTTTATATATACTGGTATCTGAGTGGGATCAGAGGTGTATCTTTGCAGTATGAGATGATATTCAATTGCTCGTTGCTTTGTTGGACTTTAAGATTTTGGGCATCAAACCCATTAACACTGCCATTTTTCATTTATAAATGCAAATACATGTATAAATGTATAAATACATGTATAAATACATTGTAAAACCCAAAGTTTGAAGAAATCAGACATCGTCATGGAGATTGACTTTTTTTGCCAAAATCCAAAATTTTATCATCAATCAGGTGTTTTTCCAAGTGTGGAAAACTCAAAAGTTAAAAGGAAATGTGTGCAACTTTTTCTAAATAGCTCAATAAGATTTGCACATTATACTTTTATAGTTTGCGACCTTTCGCAAATTCTGTGTAATGCTCTTCAGATGTTTCTGTGAAAGGATATTTTGTCATGCTTGATAATGAAAACATCATTCTTATCTACTATTATTGAGCAAATTAAATACAATATTATTTGAGAATTCTTTCTAATTCAACATTTATTTATAGAGGCAAACATAAAAGTCTTGTTTACAATTTTTCCACCAAAACCAATTCCATTAAAATTATGCAAAGATAACGAAAGTATGATCAATCCAAACTATGACAAAAGTCATCAAGTAAATGGAATACATTACAATAGCTTGTGTGGGTTACTTCCTGATGCACATGTGGTATTATCCTCATCTAGTGACTAGAAACTTTCCATGTGATTAAGCTACTGGAAAATCTTATTGGTGTACATCAGATTAAGTCTGATGCACAAGGGTGTCTGAAATCTCAGAAGATTATGAGTCATGCAGTTAAGAGATGTAGATTGTTACGCTGAAGGAGGAAGTAATACCACAGTGCATGTAGACATGTAAGAGGATTAGCATCAGTGTCCAGTGCCTGATCACTGGACTTGGTCCTAGTCATTTGACCTACTGACCACTGGCAAGAAGTTAATAAGAATAGTCATGCTGCACATTGACATATGACATGTGTGACATTGCCATCTACATGTGACAAGTTTGTGATTGCCAGTTCTTATTCAAGTTCTTGAATTAAGTTTGATTTAACTTATGGCGTGTGTATCTGTTGCAGAACTTCCTTATGGCTGGGAGAAGATTGATGATCCACAGTTTGGCACCTATTACATTGAGTAAGTTTTCATTTCATATAGATTTTGTTTGTTTTTAACTTTCTCGCAGTATTTATTTTTGGAGTATTTTCAGTAAAACATGGATTTTTTTTTTCATTTTGGGTTGGAAAAAAAAAGAAAACAGATGGAAGGTGAATTCAACCCTGTAACTTTCAGATCTCAAAAATTGATCAGGGGTTGACATGTAGTTTTTCTTTGACTGCCATTGCCTTGGTATACATCATTGCTAATATTACAGTGTTATCATGTACAAGGGCTTGATACCCAGCCTCAGCATATTTGGGTTTGAGGATTTGCAATCATCAACACAGTTTTAGGTGACCCACTTGGTAGAATGCTGCCCTGGTATTCTGGAGGTCTGAGGTTTGAATCCCACTGCATTCAATTGGAAAACCACCAACACGATGTTAGTTGACCCCATTGGTACAGTGCTTTTCAGGTGTACTTGGGGTCTTAGAATTGAGTCTTACTGCACTCAAAATTTACATGTGGAAGAACCCCTAACGCTGTGCTGGATAACCTAGCTTATACACTATTTGTCTAATATTCTGGATGTCTGGGGTTAGAATCTCATTTGACTCAATCTAAAGACCACCAACACAGTATCACATGTCCGGGTAGGCAACCTGGTTGGTTAAATAATGCATGAAGAGCTCATCCAATCAGTTTCTATTTTCATCGTAACTTATTTTTCACGTTTTACAATTGTTTATCTCAAAAAAGTAATAACGTACATACATGTAATACATTTATATCAAAACTTGTACAACAATTTGGAGTACAGTTGGCATTAAAGTGCAGTTATGTTTAAAAGAAACTCAAACATCTACCGAAACAAATTTTAAATGGTATGAAGTATGAAGGTAACCAACAAAACAAGTTGATTAAATGTTATCAAAGTGAAAACCAGAAAGATAATATGGGAGCAATTTTAAGACGTCATTGTGAATGTGTATGTGATAATGTGCGCAATGTTTTGTGGAATAAAAACCGGTTTCAAGGATCTTATAATAAAGATCGCCCATAGAAACGTCGTTCTATGCCATCTTGAATTTCATGTAATCAGTTCCCTTTAGTTTAGTCCGTTTCTAAGTAGACATGGTCGAGGAAAGGTTTGCTTTTGGTTTACATTAGGCAAACACTGGGACTACAACTGTATACGTATGTACAGAAAGTTTTCTACATTCACTTTCACTTGGTGTATCAGGAAAGGATGTTGGAGTGAAAGTTCTTTTTATTGTGCCTTTTTTGTGTACAATTCAGTTGAGTGAAACGTTTTCGGACAGTGAAGCTGTGATTTCAAATCTGCACCTGTATCAGCTTGAAGTACCACGTACCAATGTCTTCCCTTCAGCATGTTGGGAGAGGTTTAGTCTGTTTTGTGGACTGTTTCTTTGACTTACCAGTTTATTGTAACGTGGCAGTTGTAAATAAATCTCTGATAGTAAACTGATACCTGTATGCTCGTGTGAGCTTGTTCATTTCATGTCGGAATAAAATACAAGCATCTCATCTAAAGTGTCTGCCATACATGTATGTCACCATCCAGTTACCGTACAACCTTTGCTAGAAGAACTCTTGAATGGATTTACCAATCACAAGTGGTGTTGCACCTGCCAGTCAATCAAAATTGTTGAAGGTATGGCTTCTGAGTCAGAGTTACCCATGGATGCCAGGAGCCAGTTGGATCGTTTTACGTCCACTGTGTCTGCCCGCCTGTCTGTCATGGGAAACAATCTCAGGGACTTCATCACAGATGCCAAGCTACGCACTGACAAGAAAACTGCCGTCTTAGAAGAATCCCTCCAAGAGACCAATACTCTGGTTCAGAAGATCCAAGCAGAGATAGAGGAGCTGAGAACAAATATTGAAGATGTTGTCTGTGATTTGGAATGCAGGGGTTACATGAGCCAAAAAGACTGCCTAACCATTTTTGAACAAAGCTCATTTTGGTAAATGCACGCATCAGTCGTCATAGGGATAAGTACATTTACTTGTAGGTGGAGGGTGGAAGTTGTTGAATCCATTCCTAGTGATGTGGACTGATATCACACGCAGTTCATTTTATAACAAAATTATTCTTAGGATGTCTTTACTAAAAAAGTTCTGGATTTGTAAACCTGTAGTCAATCCAAGTTAGGAAATGGTATTCGGGTGAAAGAATATTAATAATTATTTGGTATGATTCGGGGTTGTGGTCGAGACCATCACAAGACCATATGCAAGACCAGACATAAGATCAGTCACAAGGAACAGGGTGGACAATGATAAAGGAATGTTTTTGTTGCAGTTCATTTGAATAGCTTGTGACTTGAATTCAGACTGGAGGTCTTGTGCTGGTCTTGTAAAGGTCTTAAATGATCTCAGCTACAACACTGGTATGATTTGGGGCACTGAAAGAGTAAAGAATTCTACATGTATTTTCCAGGTACCAGGTACATTAATTTTACAACAGTGCCCTCCCCGCTGGACTCTAGAACTTTCAGATTATACAAGAAGAGGGGTAAAGCAATATCACAATTTATCAAATTGATTCATTTTTGTCTGTGGTAAGCTCCTTCAAAGTGTTTCCAAATTTAGACAGTTGATCATCAACTTTTCCCACATTTGAATTAGTTGAAAAGAGACACCTTCCTACACTTCACCCCTCTGATGCAACCATGCTGAATTTGTTCACATTTAAATGTGGACTGTGTAAGATGTCTTGTTTTTCTCGAGTATCATGACGTGGGTCTGCCTACATGCACATGTAAATGTGATGTGCAAAACATTTAGAAATATAGTGTTTGGGATACTTTTAGTCCTTCTGTTGGTCAGACGGGAGTGTCTTAATAATACCGCAGCAGTTCTTATTAAAATTTTACCGTTGACTGCCATGTGAAAACAAGTTTTTCCTCACCCCTTCCAGTCACATCAACCGCAAGACCCAGTATGCTAATCCCGTCTTACAAGCTAAGGAGGAAGCCAGAAAAAATGACACCAACAAGTCAGATGGCAGATACCCGATGACCCTTCCCAGGTCAGCTAGGAGTAGCCAGAGTTCTTTACAAGCTCCTGCTCCATCTAGGGCACTCAGTGATCCTAACATGCAGGAGAATGGCCACTCAGCAAGACCACAGCTGTCAACATCACCCATCAAGACAACTTCAGGTAGCCACTTTAAAGTAGCCACTGTTTGAATGTGAAAAGCCAGTGTTAATCATCTGCTGTGCTTTAATTTACAAAGTCAGACGGGGGGAGCACGTGTAAAAAGGAGAGTCATTGTCACATTTGATGTGAGAAGGACATCTTGAGACAGGTTCTCCTTTGGATGTGAAGGTGATGACTGAGCCTCCTTACCTCCTTGGATGAAATGTTGACGTCTAAGATGGCAGTGTTGTAGATATTACTCAGTCTTAGTAATTTTTGTTGTCAGCTCTTAATTCAACGTTTTGGGTCTTTCCCATGAGAACTTGTTCTTTTGTTTCCTTTATGATTCTTCATGGAATTTCCCTTAAGGTGGCTTTCCATTGGTACATTTTTCTGGTGCGTTGTTTACATGATGCGTTCATTTGTTTCACTTTCACAGACACAAAAATCGCTTCCATTAACATAACACGTATGCGTTGTGTTCGGCCATCAAAAGTGCTCGGGGGGGGGGGGGTTATGGATACACAATGCATGGCGCAAGTGTTGATATGCTTATGGAAAGGTACCTTTAGTTTGCTGATAACTCCCTGAGGTTTTCCCTAGAGTACTTCAACTTTCAATCAAGTCATTCCTCTCACATTTCCCACTTTATTTCATAATATTTTGTCTTCAGTTTTTACCATTTTGATATTACAAATATTCCTTCCTTGTTGATAATTACTTCATACCTAATAGTGAGGGGTTTGAGCAGGCTTCCCTGAAATGTTCCTGTTAATATCAGAGGAAGCATTTCTAAATTTTAAATTGTCCCGTAACAAGTTTGAAAGGGAAATATCTTTTTCAGTATTCCATACAATATTTTAGTTTGCCAGTCAAGTTCTGTCTTGTAGAAATTTCTTTCCATCAAATTGCCACCAATTTCTCTGAATAGTAAGATATTACCATGCCAGTCTACATGCCAGTTGTTTGACAATAATAATCTTATTTTGAGAATGTCGTAATTGTGTACTTGTGCGCACTTGCACATGCACAAAGAATGAAGTTTCAAAATTGTCCTTTTGATAAAATTGTGTATTGGAATTCAACATGCAGAAAGCTAGATCAAATTTGTGTTTGAACACAGATGCAGAGTGGCGAGCCATGTTCACCAACGACCCTGACAAGTTGAAAGGTCAAACCATCAAGACGGTGTTAAAAAAGAGCAAACGTGGGTTTGGTTTCACCATCGTGGGTGGGGATGACTGTGAGGAATTCTTACAGATTAAGAGCGTGGTGCCAACTGGGCCGGCTGCATCTGATGGGATACTGAAAACAGGTTAGTGCAGTAATGGATATGTCATGGGATTAACATTGATTGGTGTGATGTGAACGATGGCTCTGTATGTATTGTCATAAGGACCAAGCTGACAAAGGATTGTAGGGAGTAAATGGTTCATGGTTGTGGAAAGTCACAGAGAAGTACCGGTATTTGAACGGCAAAAGCCCAAGCCATAGCCAGAAAACATTCATTGTCAGAAGATCATATCTTTCACAAAACATGTAGCACGTGTTTTGGGAAAGGGTAAAAATGTACCAATTAGCAAAGTGTGCATTTGTTCATTTGTCCAGCTCATATGCAGTTTCAGCATTACTATTGCTGAAGCAGCGTTGCACATATAATTGTGTGATCACAGTTGTTTTGTCCCTCATCAAAGAGAACCCTCCAATCATTACTGTAACTTTCTTTACTTCCTCTCGCAGGTGATGTTCTTGTGTTTGTCAAAAGTGATGCCACTCCTGAGCCTGTCAAGGTCTTAGGCTATACTCATCAACAAGTTGTGACCTTATTCCAGGCCATTATGCCAGGGGAACAGGTCCACCTTGAGGTTTGCCGTGGTTACCCTCTGCCCTTTGACCCTGATGACCCCAATACACACATTGTTACATCCTATGCAATCTCGCCCTCTTCCAACCAGCCCGGGGTGAAAATCCCTGGTACCCCGTCATCATCAGCTTTCAGAAAGCACAATAGCATGCCTTCAGACAAGATCCACAACAACATCGGTCCACCGAGTTACAAAGACACAAACATGACACATGCTGCATCGAGACATCAACACGAGAATCGAGACACTCCCCCACCCCCACCCAAGATCTCCTCTGGTCATCACCGAAACCACCGGAATGGAGATTCAGGTTCTAATCTTTCCCGAGAAGCACATGTCAAGTCACTGCCTGACCTGACAGCAGCCAAGCCCCAAGAGATGGAAGTGACTGGTTCCCCACGTGCTAAGACACCAACGTTGTCCTCCAATCACAAACCGGACTCTTTGACGTTACCCAACAATGTGAACAGCAGGGGGAGTGTATCCAGTGAGCATCCTAGCGAGTCTCCATCAAGCACTCAGCCTGAGATTCATGCCATTCAGTTTGTGAAAGGAAATCAAGGCTTTGGGTTTACAGTGGCTGATAGTCCATATGGGCAAAAGGTAAATTGAACTCCATTTCTAAAATATCTTAGTATGTACATGTAACTTGGTAAATGCTGTTGCAAAGCTCATTGTTTAATCTTGGGACATTCATGTAGAATAATGATGGTAGTGGAAGTGTTTGAATCTCTATCAAAATATTCATCACTCAGAAAATTTGACAGAGCAGCTACCTCCTCAGTTGTGCTCATTTGTTGTTAGATTGTCTTGAAAAGTTTCTATATGAGGTAATACATTTCTGTAAGTCAAGTTGTAGTCTATGGGGATTTCAAGGTTGTTTCCTCAAACTTTTCAAACTGTCTTTGTTGAATATTGCTGCATTTAAAGGAAAGTGTATGGAATGCGCAATAAAATGATAGAAGATAAACAGTTTGAAAACAGACACTGAAACTTTTGACCAGGAAAATATTGCAACTTATGGTTTGCAGTAGTAATAGGTGTTGAAATCAAAAGTGTTTCATTGCAATAGAATCACCTGAGATAGAAATAAGATTTCCTAAGGCCATTGTTCTAATCTATTCTAATTCGAAAACAAGCTTTAGTTCTGTTTTACTGAAACCAAAACATTCTGTTTGTTACTCGTTTTCACTCCAAAAGAATTCTTCCTGAGAATGTTACAATTGCCTTTTCTTTTCTTGAAAAAAATCTTAACTTTCACAATTGGCATTCTTACCAGACCTTGTAAAGATTGTTAGATCAGATCAGAGACACTGTCCTATGCACAAGACATGCTTTCATTCTGCTGAAGTTTTCAGAGGAAAACCCCCAGTTTTTAAAAAAATATATTTTAAAGGTCTGATTCTCACGTGGTGTGTCTTAGAGAAGTTTGGAGTTGGTAGACAGGCATCTGTGTATGTTGTACATGCACTTAATTATTGCAGCTGGGCTGTTTGTCAGAACAGTTGCTTGTACAGACTTGCATGTTGACCACGACCTACCAAATTGACCAGCAAAGTGAGAGGTGAAAAAGATACAACCACTTTTGGATTAAAAAGCTTAAATTTAAAAACTTTTTTCAGATCTTTGTGTATTGTAACTGAGATTAATTTTTTCTTGTCATTCATAGGTGAAGCAAATCCTAGCTCCGGCAAACTGTAAGACACTACGAGAGGGCGACATTCTGGTAGAGATCAATGGGGAGTATATTCGGTATCTACCTCACAACCAAGTTGTTCACAAGCTGAAGGAATGTCCCTTGGGGGTAGAGACAACCATTGTGGTGCAACGAGGAGGTGAGTTGACTTCAGATTTTAGACCCTCAGATTTGACTGGTTCTTGCATGGAATCCTGAGCACATCTAGATCCCTATAAAAGAAATTTTCAGGAAGTTGTAATTATTACATTTTTATGTCAAAGTGAAGGCTTCCACTGAAAGAAGTTTTACAGTATTGTACATACATTTGATGCACAGGCTACATAGACAGAAGGCTTCTTAAAGCTGACTCCATGAAATTGCATTAAGCTAGTTAACAAGATTTTCTTACATGAAAAAGGTGATGCGGTAGGGTTCTTTCCACAAAGTTTTAAACCTTGCAATTGTACATTGACAAAAATTGAATGAAAAAGAATTCTTAAATGAGTGTACACGTCCTCCATGAAACAAATGAGGAAAATTATGCTTATTTCCAGGTCATACAGCCTCAAGGGGTTAGAATAGTACATGTACATGCAAAAGAAACACTTTAAAGTATAGAAACTTTGCAGCTAACTTGTTTTGCAGATAGCCCCCAATGCTGAGGTTTACATTCATACGTGACAACTTCTACAGTCGAGAAATAGTGTATTACTTACGAAAGTAGTTTTTGGCTTGTCCGGTTTGCGGTTGGCAAATAAATTACTTACACACTATGACATTGAAGCATTAAGGTTCGTAAAACTAGTTCATCAGTGGAATAATTTCCCTCAAATGGCCTTTTGTTGGATCTTGGTTGCATCTCCATCTGTGGGCTCATCTCATGCTCGTTGATAAGTTTGAAAAATTTACTATTGGAACCAGATGGCTTTGTATCATACAATTTGATGTTTCTGCAGCAGAAAATACAGCTATGTCAGGCTTGATAAGTCTCTACTTGGGATTAAACTTGTAACACTAAAGACTGAAACCAAAGATGGGACAGAACTAAGATTAAGACCATCTCACCCTTCCATGTACAGGGTTCCCATGGTCATGGAAAATCATGGAAATTTCTGGAAAAGGTCCTGGAGAAGTCACGGAAAAGTCTTGAAAAATAACAATATAGGACGTTGTGAAATCTCTTCTCAGAGGAACAAAGTCATGGAATGTAGTATCCAGATTTCTGTGGTAACCCTGATGTAATGTGACGTAAGTTCTTACGGTACATGTACATAAATATACCCTGGTAGTTACCAGTACATAGTCCATAGAGCAGGGAAGCGTGGCTAAATCCACTCTGCAGGCTACATGTATATATCCCAAAGAATATGTCAGGGAAAATATGGTACCGGTGTATATTTCATCAAATTGGACATACACTGTACATGTACAAGGCACCCAATTTGGGTGTGTGACTGCATTCACTGCAATGTTGTTTCATTCAGTTATTTAATTTATTCAAGAAGTGCATTATATTATTACAAAAATTGGGGATACATGATCTTGTTTCCCTTGTTACTCTTGTCCTGTGGCACCTGTGGAACACTACTACCAGTACCCGGTATCTCTAGTCAACCTGGTTTTCTACAGGTGTCCTTTGAAGGATAATGGCTTTATCCCTAACCCCCAGGCCCTTTTTGCTAGGGACCCTCCTCAATCCTCCAGAATCCTCCAGTTTTCGGGGTCAAACAAATTGGATTCTCCCTCAATCCTCTGAAATCCTCCAAAATTTGTTGAAAATGTTAATTGGAGGTGTGCCTACTGGCTCAATCCTTCAAAATCCTCGGCAATTCCTGTCATTATGTTGAGACAGTGTGAATGGCATTCTTGAGCAATGTGGTTGATTCACAAGAAATATTGGGCTGAATTTATGCATGACTAAGTAAAAACAACACAAGATCTAATGTTAGTAACCCATGACCTTCATGCATGGCATCCTTCGCAATCAGCCATGCACTTTTGTCATTCACCCTCAATCCTCCAAAACTGCCTGAAGCATTTTGGAGGATTGAAGAGGGTTAGGGTTAAACTCAAGAAGACAAATATCAAGTCCATGAACCTCTCCAGTTTTTATGATTGATTCCCCCTTATGTTGAACTCTTCACCCTCATGGCATACTGCTGTCTTTTGATAAATCAATACCAACCTGTTCCCATCAATTACTTTTATTTCACTGAGATTCCAGACTGTACTACTTCATGCTTACCTTTCTTTCCAACTCCATTCCACCTGAAATTGTACCTTCCAAATGTCAGAACCATGGATGGATGGCATTTTTCTGTTAATAACAGCTGTGTCTGAATTTCCTTTCAAGTATTGTTTGAAATATCCTTGGACTTTTGGCACTCAAAGCTAGACTCGCACCTGTGGTGATATTGTCTCTAAGCTTAAGGGAATTGCTCAAACAAAATTCCATAGGAACTCTATTGCCACTTGTTAAATTTTTTGCTGTTCATGCAACAATGAACTGTATAGGGCTTGTTGATACCCGGTATGTCTTTTCAGGCAAGGACTATTATGACAGTCTAGACATATGCGAATCACATCTGGAAAAAATTGTAAAAATGCACCTGTGTGTTTAACAGGTTGATATCCAACTGCACTGGGAATGTTGCATCAGAGTTCATATTTGTACATACTTCTTGATACTTGACTGGCTATTTGCACTTGAGAGATGCGGACTGTTGCAGAGAAGTGGATATTTGAACATTCTGTAAGCTTATATCTCGTTTTCAAAATCTGAAGGCTAAAATGAACATGTACATGTAGACTGTGCTACATTGGAAAATATAATGTTCTTTCATCTACATGAACCGGTAAGAAAAGAATGTATGTTTGGAATCTGGAATGAATGTAGTTTAGGTGTGCACTGCACAATTTGACTGATTCTTTTGGCTAGTTTGTGTGTGTTCATTTTATTAGAGTGATCCAACTTTACTGTACATGTACTGGTTCATGTACAGGTAAGCATACATGTATATTTATGTGAAGTTCTCAAAGATCGGCTGTGCTGAATTGTTAACTAACTTGATTGGTTAAGAAGTTGCATGTTATTGGTTCTTGTACTTGGAAGACCTGTCATTGGTTGAATCAGCTAGTTATGTTGTGACTTGACTTGACTGACACTCACATTCAGGGAAGTCTAAGAAACTCTGAAGTCTGGATTTGAAACCATCAAGGTTGCCGCTGCTGTAAGTAAGGTCATCTCTAATGCATACCATGTCATGTCTCAAATGACCTTAGTCACAGCAGCAGCAACCTGGATGGTTTTAAATCGAGACTTTGGAGTTTCTTAGTGAGTGGAAGCATGGAAGGGGTCCATGTTAGGATGTCCTCTCTACACATACTGGTACACCCACACAAGCAACTCCCAAATGGGAAGAGATTGCCGAGGTCAGAGGTTATGAAGGGCAGGGTATTTTTTCCCTCTCTTGTGCCTATGGTATGCACAGATAACAAGCTGGATTCAGTTTGGTATGCTAGTTCTTCTGACCAAAATCTGACTCGTTGAATTATGGAGAAGTCAAAGACACTGTGAATTTTATCAGATGGAATGTTGTCAGATCATAAAATAAAATTGTTTGTAATTTGGGATGAATGTCTGGTTAAAGTACATGTACATACATGTAGATGCTGTGTAAGTGATTTTACTCATAATCTTTGAAGTGATGGATCGCCAAGAAATTTAGTGTTAGAATTATTACAAGGCATATAATGTTCCTTAGTTACTGGATTTCCCTCATCTCAATGTTTACAACAGTTGCAATTTACGCAAGAAGAATTTGAAACGAAAGCTTTGACTAGCCATCAAACTTTGAGTGAAGGTGTGAGTTTAAAGGATTCACGCAGAAGATATTCAGCGCAGCTTGTTTCCATGCATATTAATATGTTACAACAATATGAACAAGATCTAAATAGTGGCTTTTATTCAAAGTGAAAGAACTCTTCAAAGAAACTTTTATCAACAACACACGAAGGTCCTGTTTTGATGTTGTGATACAAAGTACACCTTGTCAAAAGAGCATAGGAACAGTACAACAATTAGTGCTTCAATACCACCCACCAACAGTGTTTTGAAGAAATATGGACCTCTACTACATGTACTGTCCAAACAAACGAAGTATAAAGTGGAACCAACTCCAAGAAAATGTACAAAAGTATGATACATGTACAGTACATTGGTACGAGTATATTGCAAACAAACCTAAAGAAACACTCTTCTTTGCAGTGATGGATATCATTCTTTGGCTCATGAATATGGATTCTTCATTAGCCCCAAATCCAAAATATTGAAATTTGGCTTGGCTTGGTTTGGTCGATTTCCAGTCATCTTAGTCAAGATAATAGATGTTTCTTTACAAACATGGATACCGTACAAGTACGGGTACTGAGTCACTTTTGCACTATTAGACTGGCAAGTCGTGCTAACATGCAAATAAAAAAGCTGTGTTATATGTACATGTACTGTGTACATGTATTCAAGTAATAAAAATCCTGTTAGTCTTCCTTCAAGAACTCTGGAAGATCTGCCCTATTTTTAAAGTTTCAAAAGTGAACAGTAGTTGTCTTCAAGTTGATGTGAATTTGTCCCACCATTTGTCCCATTATTGACACCACCATCAGTCTTTCTTGTGAAAATAATTTGGTTTGATTTGTCTTTCAAGGCAGCCAGCATGGGTTCCTTCTTTCAGTTCCTTGAGCAAGATTTAAACAGTAGACTTTAAGGTCATGTTTGTTATAAAATCTCAGGCATGTACATGTACAGTGTATCTAGTCTACAGTACATGCACTGCTCCAATGCCCCATTAACTTCATAGCTTGTTTCTTATCTTTCACGACCTTGTTTGACCCTGAATAACAAGCAATCTAACTTGGCCCAGGAATGCATGAAATTAGATGACCATTAGAGCTGTTGATTTACCAGCCTACCTGTGATTTACAGGCTTGTACTTTTTGTTGTCCAGTTGAATTTAACAATCTCGTTTCTTGTGACAAACTGAGCGGTCAGTACTGGGAGAATACTGTCGCAGTGAAAATTTGGTGAAATATCTATGGAGATGATCAGATGTAGTATGTCAGTGAACATGTGAAATAACTTATTTTTAATTGATTGTACTGTTGTACTAATTTTCAAAAAAATTAATTGAAATGAAGGCGACAACTGAAATTTTCCAAGAAACATGTCATATCAGGAAGATGACAAATTTTGTGCACTATTCTGTTTCATGAAATTTACAATGTAATCTGTGACTTGACACCATGAGGAAAATCCTCAAAAAAGATTCATCTTTCTATTCAGACAGGGCAGTAAGCTATTCATTACTGTGTGGTTACTGCTGTCTGCTACCCACAGCATTTGCTTCTGTTCATGATTAGTAAGCTAGGGTTTATTGTGAATAAATAGATTCACAGTTTACCTTTTCCTGATAGTTACATATAAATCCCTGTAACTGAATACGGTAATCTCACTATGCATACAGTGTTCATGTAGTCTCACCTGGGATGAACCTTTGGATCACAAGAGGTTGATTACATCCCAGTACAGTTTACGTGTAGATCTTTCCACTAGAGTTGTTTTACAGAATTCATCACAAATATCATTTGTGTCCCATGTTTCTTGTGGTTTTACCCAAAATGTCGTCAACATCTACAGAAACAAGTATGACCTTATATGGTTTTCTGTGCAACAAAAGAAGTTGTAATTGTCGCTAGAAATGTGCATGGTTGACTGGCATTGGCTTTCTAACATAACACAAGTTATTTTGAGGTGGATGAGTTCATGCATTTTGAGTTCCTTGTAAATGAAATTTCATGTTTTTCAGCACTATTGTTTTGTTATTTGTCAGCCTAAGTTTTTCATAACCCAAGGCCTTACGATACTGAAAGTCTGTTTAGAGCATTTTGGAGTGCATTGAAGAGGTCCAATCACTAGGATTCATTTTAAAATCTAGCCAAAATATGTGATGCCTGTGGAGAGAAACAAGACTTGCTTTCTTCAGGGCCTGAGATGTGGAGGCCAATGAGAGCCCAACCTATTTTCCCTGCTAGGCTTTCCTTCAGTTTTGATCAAGAGTCCATGAGTGCTTGACACCAGAGGTTCTTCCATCTACATGTGGTAGTGTACATGGACATGTACATGTACAGTATTCTGTAGAGTCTAGTACAGCGTCTGCCCATGGTCGACCAGACAAAGCTGTAGGCACATTTCAGTATCAGACAGCCAATAACTTGGAAGTTCTCAGCTGTGGGTGTGCTAGTCCATATATGACCTGTGCAATTGCCTGGGGTGGTTCCCTGACCCCTATGTCACAGGATACCCTGTTTATTAAGGCCTGTGAATCTTGTTTTGTGTATGGAATAATATCATAAGTACAGACTATGGCTAAGATAATACTGGATCCCAAATTCTTGGCAGGTATGCTGAAGCCGGTACGCAACCCCAACAAGATCAAGCCGGTCAAGACGGTGAGTATTACATTTCTACTCATTTTTGCTGTCAATTTCATGTGAACGAGGATGCAATGACCTGGCAACATTACAGTTTTTTGCATTTTTATTTGCTTTGTGTAAAATTCCTGCAATGGATAAGTTTCAGTTCACTGTCACTTCAAACCGTAACCCCCTAGGGTGTATATAAATTGTATTGAAATTTGAGGATTTGGGACTTTTAGGGTGTACATGTACTCACTTTTAATGTCTGCTTCTGTTCTCATTTTGTGAACGGTTTCCAAGCCATCACATTGCTGTTTGACAGTTGTTTTTTTTGTTACATGTACATGTACATACTGATGTTACATGGTATGTACACGTACAAAGTCATAAAGGTGAAAATCTGCATTTCCTGCAATTCACCTATAGTAGCAAGTTTTTGTTTCAGTTTTCTAAAATTTAAAATTCCTTGTTTCTGTTCTGTCTAAATGTCTTTTTTTTTCACTGAAGGGAACATTTCAGGCATTTAGAATGAAATGAGACTAAGATTCAAATAGATTTATGCTAGACCAGATATGGACAATGAAGTTTCAGGGAGTTGCAGGTGAAATAGACAAAGCTTTTAGGTTGAATATGGAATTGAAAAAAATTCAGGGAACTTGTAACTTGTGCACTAACAGTTTGTATCTGATACCTTGCTCCTGGGATATGTAGATTGACAGAATAGAAATCGGGAGTTTTAAATTTTAGAAAATTAAAACAAACTTGCGAGATACATGTACATGTAGTTATTTCATGTCTAAAATGATGCCTTGTGTTTGATATCCATGTTTCAAAAAAAAAAAAAAAGCTGGTATGAAAGCTGAGCTGTTTACAACTCCATAGACCAGCAGCTGTGGCTGTTATTGATGACCAACCTGTAAATTAACCCAGCATGGAGCCATGTAAGGATGGCCAGCTAAAGCTTTCTGGATATCAAATCACATTGAAGTTAACAAAAAAATCCTTGGAATAGAAACTGCACAAAGTCTATGGGATTTGGTAATGAAAGGAAAAGACGAACATGGCAATAAATATCAAACAGAGACTTGTCTAGAAGATAAATTCAAAGAAACATCTTGAAGACATTGTTTGATCCATGTCAGCAAGACAAATAAATCAGCAAATTGCTCATTATTCACATTAAAGCACCAAGATTGTTGTGAATGATAGCTGGTGGAATGTGCTTCATTTATTTCTCAATACTAGGGTAAATTCAATTGTTACATGTTGGAAGCAACAGACCAGTCTTTGTTTGTAATTTAGAGATTGATCATCAAAACTAGATAAAAGAGATACATCTGTTACCAATTGGTACACAAGTATACAGTGTACATTGTACATTGCATACATGTAGTATAAAGTGTATATTGCATAGTATACAGTGTACATTGCTTAGTATACAGTGTACATGTACATTGTACATTGCATGGTATACAGTGTATATTGCATAGTATACAGTGTACATTGCATAATATACAGTGTACATTGCATAGTATACATGTATATGTACATGTATGTACACTGTACATTACACATCCACTTTATGTGTGCATTTTGCAGGAGGACAGCATACCAGTCTGTCGTTAAAATATGAGTTAAGCTTAACATTAGCAAGTGATTTGTGGGGTTTTGTTTGGATAGAAAGAGTACCCAAGGGGTAATGCACAGAATGTACATGTACCATAAGGCCCCTCCAAAAAAAGACTCTGGTTTCTGGTCATGTTCAGCTCCAGTTTCTGCTTTAGCTTAGAGGAAACGAGTTGCATGTCAAATAGCCTATGAAAAAATAAATCAAACAGTTCAGCTCCAGAGTCAAAAAGAAAATAAATTCTCATGAGGTAAATGATGTATTTTGCACATTGTTTTCTGTTTCAGCTTATGAGAAATAATTTGCATATAAAATATTGGGGAAAAAATTCAGCTCAGAAAATAAGATCTCCTCTCTCTCTAATCTACATGTACCTTTGTTCTTGGCAAGTGACGATGCATGAGTTGTTATATTTGTATTTTCATAAGGCGAGGTCCATCGCCACCGTATGTACCGACACTGAAATAGACTGGCCCCTCACGGTTTGTTGCTCAAAAACATTTTCAATTTGTATACGTAAGCAGGATGTAAGACCATATCGTTTTTCTGGTTCACAGACGTGAGCCTGGGTCCGAATCAATTGGCTACAGCTGGAATTACTCCGAGTATTTGAGAGTATCCACAGCTAGTTCCCATAGAATCATGCATTATCAAGCCGCAGCCAACTGATTCGGACACAGCCTTCGTATAAAGATACATGAATGACGTCATCTGTTAAGAGTGCCCGACTGAAATGTATGGAGGCCAAGGTGGATTCCTTCACCGTACATATTACTCAACCGCACCCACTGAAAACATGTTAAAATTGTGCAGTAGCAGAATTCTTGCTGATAAGTTAGTTTGGCAGCTTTTGGAAATCGTTTTATGCAAAATAAAAAAATTCTTTCTTTTGCCGATGCGCTGTTCTACAGCAACGCACGCGGTGACCAGAAACTGGAGACTTTTTTTGGTCTAACTTATATGCCTGCATGTGGTCTTTATTGTCATCCAGTGTAGTCATACCATGGTCAGACCTCCTCCATGGTCAGACTGAGTACCTAGCTGTTCAAAAATGTTGTGTTTTGGGCACTCTCCAGGATAATTTCCTTTGTTTGGAAACCGTTATAAATCTAACGTGAGTTGATATTTGTATATTAGCTGAAGTTAAACATCTTTTTTTATCAATTCTCTTCAGCTTCCTCACTTTGCCTGCACCTTTGAACACAATTTAAACAAATGCCTGCCTGCCTGTTGTCAAGAAATGCTTGAGGGCAGAGATCATGACAAGCATGGGATACCTTGAATGGTTCAACCTGGCCCATTCATTTGATCCTTGATGGAAACCCAATACTTGCAGTCATAAATTTAATCCATGTTTATCTTACATCCTCCTGCTCCATTTCATTTTTTCAATGTTGGCTTCTTTCTACTGAGAAGTTGATAGAAGTACATGTGTATAAAGTGACTCTTATCACAGGAAAGCATGTTTGTGCTGGAATGGGGGCTTGGGTTTTTTTTTACGTGTACCTCCAGTTTTTCTGCCGTGGTTGAATTTGATGATGTATTACCAGAGATAATGATATCTTTGGTTTTCATTGGCTGCTGCTGTTATTTGTTCGTTATAGCTTGTTTCATTGTTGAATTTTTTTATCCTTCGTTCATGTTAGCCCAAGACACCAGAACCAAGGGACAAAAACGAGGGGCCAAATCTCAACGAATTCCGAACTTCAGAAGACCGAGATAACGTCAATCATCGGCCACATAGTAACGGACCATACCGAGGTAAGATGTCAAGTGATTGACAGTTATGAAGATGGTTCCCATCATGCAGAAAGAGTTCTTGGGATGAGTGTTTTTGTTTTGTTAAAATCTTATCAATGACAGAATGTGACTGTGATATGTTGGACTTGGCATTTTGACAGAATAGTATTAGCAGCATATTTTTTTGATTAATCTGAATATGTGACACATCAATGTTCATATATTGTATGTATCTTCTTCTTCAATAGTAGAAATGAATCAGTGCTACATGTACATGTATGTGTTACTGGTCTTGTGCAGTACTGGTATGTGAATCATTAGATTAAAAAAAAATTGTGTCACTTCATTTTTTGGGGGGCGTGTTGGCATTTTGGTACTCATTTTAATACACGTGACATATTATTAACATGTTTTACTTTAAGTTTATTCTAAACGTAGCTCAGTTATGTAGCATTCATTTGAAGCATGAAACAGCAGTTGGTGAGATTGCAGACTGTTTTGTAATTGTAGAAATTGGCCTCTACTTCTGTTTATTTTCGTTTCCCAGTCTCTGAGAATGAGCTTACAGTAGTCTCGATACTACCATTGGATCCTCTACCCAAAACAGCTACCCTGTCATGAGTCCCCTTATTTTTGGTCTTGGTCATAAAATGCAGTAAAAACAAGGGTAAATACTTCAACGGGTACCATACTGTACATGTACATTTCCAGTCATATTGATATGTTTTAACAAAGATGTTTTAATAAACTTCAAGATGCACTTGCTAAAAACTTCACCTCTCTTGATGGCAGGAGAATGATAATTTTTTCTGAGGTCATCAGTGACAGTTCCTGGACTAACCTTTGTGTAACTTTATAGGAATTGCAGTTCACAATCCTTCAAGCATCAAAGAGATATTGTTATCCACTTAGTAATACATGTAGGGTAGTATTGTACATGTACGTGTAATTCCCTGCAGGTTCACATTTAAGATTTCATGTAGACAGAAACACTTCTTTGAATAATTTCACTTTGTGGTTGTATTTGTTTGCATTAATTTCCTTCGCACCCTTTTACCAGAGTTATTTTACAGTGAATTTTCAGTCTATTTCAAATACATAAAATAAATTGCATTCTAGGTACTGTTATCTACTGTAAGACTTTGAAACGTCTTAGTGAAATCACAAAGTGTTTTTGTTTGGGTTTAAAGATCAACTTTTACAGCCACAGGTCACTTGGTGGTGGTTGCATGTCATACATGGCTAGGCTGTGGTGCAAAAACAAACTGGTCATCTTATGTTTATATTTTAGGAAAACCACCAGAAATCACAGGTGTACAGTACTTGTTACACCCTTGATTTCCCAATATTTGTTACCATGCCTGCTCCTGTTCCAGGGCTTTCATTAAAGAGAGTCTTTATTTCTTCTGACCATACATGTACTTGTGCTCATGTATGTACATGTACAGTACGTGGCTGCTTGAACTGTTTTTTTTTTTTTCTTCTTTTTCCTGAGAATAACTTCAGTGACTGACTAAGTGACTGAGTGCCCTGTAGGTTACCATGGGGGGCATGGCTGTTCAGGGGTAATCTGAAAGGTTAATCACAGTGTGGATATAGGATCCTCTTGGGTATACAAACTACATCCAAATACATTCCATACCAGTCAGTGGTTAATGTACATATAGGACACGTTTTGCAGTCCGACTTGTGGCATGTACACGTACATGTAGATGTTGTAGGGTGTAGAAAATATTGCTGAAAGTTGTTATGGCATTTAAATTTTCTTTGGGAAGTTGTTAATCTTACGGAATAGAGATGACCTGACTTATTGCTTTCCTGGCATTTTCAGGTGACAGTTATTCGAGTGATGAATATGACTCTCGAGACGAAGACCAAGGCATGAGACATCATAGACATGGTCGGGAGCGGGCAAGTAAAAGCCCCAGGACTGTCAAACGTGAAGAGACGTATGACCATGAAGAACGTCACCGAGATCATGAAAGAGAAAAGGGTAAAGGCGAACCACGACATCACTACAGGGATCAGGACAGGATCCCCAATGAGAATGGACCCATTCATGGACACCACAGTGACCACCGGCCACATGCTGACCATGACTCTGATCGCAGCTGGGACAAAGAGGTAGACAGGAAGGCCAATGACCATGGCAACCGTCGTGGAGATCCACGAAGGCAACATGAAAGAAATGATCGCAGATTGGCTGAGAATGAACGGCGGTCTACAGAGAGAGATCGGAGGCCAAATAGAGACCCAAACAGGCGTAGGGATGATCCTGATCGGCCAGTGGTAGACTATGAGACTAGGAGCCTAGAACGTAAACGCAGACCGCGTAGTCCTGAGCATGATAGACCAGTGTCCCGGCCGGAACGCTCACGGACACCCAAGTATGACTATGATTCCAGGGAGAATCGGCCACCGCCCAAATCACCAGGCATGGAGAGGCAGGGCCATCCACTCATTGAAAATGGGACCAAATCACTGAGACGGGATCAGCGAGGTCATCCAGAGGATGGTAGAGGTCAGGAAGGTCGAAGATCAAGACCTGGGGGTGAAAGTGGTACTGGTCCAAGGAGTCGAACTCCCAAGCCACACCATAGCACCTCCCCTGTCAATAGTAAGGAGAACGTTGTTCGATGAATTTAATTCTGGCTAAATGGTTTTACAGAATCAAAACTAAAATTAGATATTTTGTGCAAAAGTGATGAAAATCTTGTAAACAGTAGTTAAATTTGAATTGTTTTGAAATTCAAGGTTTTCATAAATTCTTTAATTTTTTACTTCAAAGATATAAGAAGTCAACAAAGAATTAGTGTGTGTCATGTTACAGTGTATTGAAACTTTCTGGTGCACTAGGGTCTGATGATGTGATTGGGCAGAGACCACCCTCTAGAGCCAAGCAGCCTGCTAAGGCACCTGTTGGCAATAATGAGGATAACTTCATTGAGACCACTGTGTTCCTGAAGAAACTAGACAATGGTTTTGGCTTCAGAATAGTTGGTGGACGTGAAGAACAATCTCAGGTAAATAGCATCTCATCAAATGAGAATGGATCTTAAAATGGCCAGAGTTATAACAAATTTACAGGCAGATTTGAAGATAGAAAGTACATCGTGAAAGAGGTTGCAGTACCTGCTTGCTACATCTGACTTGGACCGGCCAGTCAACCCTGGCAAGCTTGGTGTTTGAGTGGTTAAGATGTCTGCACTAGGAAGCAGGAAGTCATGGGTTCGAGTCCCACCTGAGTAAGCTCTTGGACAAGCACTGATTATACAGTGTTATGAATATACGTCGGTGTAAGGGCAAAACCTGTAATTAAAACAAATGGAAAAACTTTTAGACCAGGAAGGCCACAGAGACTACCGTGACTGAATTAAAAGCCAGCAGGGTAAAGTGTATATTTTTGTCTACGAGGGAGATACTTTTATTGGTTAAAAGGGCTTCTTTTGTACCAATGTTATAAAAACTTATACCTGTTGTGATGTTATTTGGGATATTCCTTTGTCTGCTTATATCTCAAAGGTTGCCATTGGAAATATTGTACCCAATGGTGCTGCTGACTTGGATGGTCGCTTAGTTACCGGTGATGAACTTCTGTATATTGATGGCCAGTCAGTGATTGGCTCATCTCATCAGGAAGTGGTGAATCTGATGGTGAAAGCTTCACAGGCTGGGCGTGTGTCACTTGGAATAAGGAGAAAGATTTCTCCGTCTGCTAGTGAACCAAGTAAGCAGAAACTGTTACCTCAATTCAGTCTAACTCCTTTGTCACTTCCCTCAGCGTAGTATATTTCAAGAACCTCAAAGTTCATTTCAGCAAAAACATGACAGGCTCGTGACAGGCTTATCAAATGATAATTCTAGGGTCCAAATCAGGTTTTAGTGTGAGTCTTCATTCATGAAGGTTAGGTCCAAGTCAAGTCAATCACTCGTGGAGTTTTTTTCCTTTGCTTCCTCTTAGAATGGGGATGCAAGGTAGCAATTTACTATTTATAAAGATATCTCATTAAGAGGGCCATGTCAGTTGTTCGAATCAAGAACAATGGGTCTGTGGTCAAAGTCTTGACCTGTGATGAAAATCTTGTAACCAAGAACTAATAAACTGCACAGGTGTGATTTCTCTGTGTGCTGTTCTTTTTCAGTGGGTAAGAACCCTGTTGATAGACGGCCGTTCTCTGAACCTCCTCCCCCAAATAGTCCTAGCAGCCCAACAAGACCCAATGCTGTTACCTTCCCCTATGATGTCACCATACATCGTAGAGCCAGTGAGGGCTTTGGATTGGTTATTCTCTCGTCGACACTCACCTCTGGCTCCAAGATAGGTGAGTCTGCATATTAAAGCTCTTTACCATATCAGATCAAGTTTGCCGAGTTATGGTATTGCCAGAAGCCTGTAGTGTCTGCCACTCTTAGCAGTAATTTTCATTGACTGTCCTCTTCCTTCCAAAATGGTATTCCTTCTAGCCTTTTTTCACACTGATGCAAAAAGTTCCTTTGTTGTATGGGACAAATGAACATCTGGAAAGAATTAATTTTGTAATTTTGTAAGTTATCATTGCCCCATAAGTACCACGTTTCTGGGACACTTGTTGAACATTTCATTGTGGGATAAACCTGCAAAAAAAAATTAAACATGTTGCATGCCATGGCATACCTAAGAGTAGCTATCTATTTTGTGACAACAGGTCGTATCATCAAGGGTAGTCCAACCGATCGATGTGGCAAAGTAAAAGTTGGTGATAGGCTGATAGCAGTCAACAAAGTGGACATCATGAATATGCATCACAAAGATATCGTCAACATGATCAAAGATGCAGGGTTGAGTGTCACATTAACGATAGGACCACCAGGTAAGATGAAACAAAATCAGATCAGAAATGCATTGGTTTTGATTTCTGTATGGCTCTCTGTTTCTAGCATTTTCAGTTTCATTTCTTTGTATTTGGCAGATTTGTGATTCATGTTTCTATATTTTTCGTTTCTCTTTCCAGAAGACCCAGTTGCTGGTAATTCTCCAAAAGTGAGTGTTCATGTATATGACGTATTGCTGAAATCATATCAGAGTTATTTCCCTTTCATATATGAAATATTTATTGTTAAGGTAGCATTACTCACACATGAATAATTCTTAATTCTGAAATCTTGTTCAGGCTCATGATAGCATGACTAATGCCCTGGCTATGCCAGCACACATTAAGAGCAGTGATACCAGTCTACTTCCAAGGGACAGTTTTAGAGAGGGACCACAATCACCTGTAACACCGACAGCTGATTTATACAGGTAAGCATCATAGTCATGCAGAAGCCAATTGAAATTGGCTTAGGAATATATTAAACATGATCTTCAAGTTTGCATTAGCTATATCCATGTTGTTGGTTACTTTTTTCTGTGTGTGTTTTTCCACCTTGATTTTTTCTGCTTTTTTAGTAATGATTGTCTATGAAATTAAGGTTTGATTTTTAAATTTAACTTAAGTGTTGACAAAGTTATACATGTAGTTTACTGGACCATCTTCCGTGAGGAAGGTTTATTATTCTGTGAAAAATTGACACACACGATGCTCTTGACTTGTTTTAAATGAGAAACTGATCAGAAAATTTAATGCCTTGTTACTGTTCTGACATTTTTTGAGCTGGTTTTCTATCAAAAGTTGGGCTTGTCAGTTTATGCCGTTGTGTATGCATGACTTGTACTCGTATCTCCTCTCTTCCTTCACCAAGTCATCAACATGAGCCTCAGTACCCTACAGCCCAAAGATGGCGCCCTCCGTCGGTACCAGTGCGAGCAGACAACCGTGACCATGTGTCATCCTCTCGAAGCACCCCTCAGCCAAACTACAACCAACGTAGCCCAACCTCCTATAATCCCCACCCTTACCAACAGCATCAGCAGTCTTCAGTGCCTTATAGTGAGTCCTCTAGGGACACCTACACTAGATCCGCTGATTACCCAACTGAGCCTTATCCTACTGACAGACATCCACACCAGTATCCACAACCCGTGGATTCCTATCCTGCTCCACACCATCCACAGCATCAGCATGCTGCCTACAGACGGACGCAAGAGCCTAGCATGCCACCAAACCATGGGGTAAGTCAGTGGAATCATGCAATGTTCATAACACAAGAAAATACATTTTTGTTTTCTGCAGAAAAGTATGCCAATTTTATTCCAGTGGAAGTTCTTTGAGCCGTTGAAAGAATTGTATTTGCTTTTACCAAAATGCCTGTCATGAAAGAAAGGAGTTTTGTTCAGTACCTGTACATGTATGTCAAAGCCCTCTTCCAATGAGGGAGTTTTTACCAAGCGAGTATACTCCGGAGCCTCGAACTTTATACATGTATCTCTCATGCAGATACTTTTGTCTTGTCTTCTTTCTCTCAGATGTTTGATGATCAACCTGAGATTGAGCCTGGTGATTACTATGCTGTAGACTTAGAGCGAGGTACCATGGGCTTTGGGTTTAGTATACGCGGGGGACGTGAGTTTCAGAACACACCGCTGTTTGTGCTACGTATGGCTGAGGAGGGTCCTGCAGCTCGGAATGGTCTAGTCCGGGTAACTCCATAGATTTCATTGTTCATTTCTCTGAGTACTCTCTGAGACAGAATAATAGATTGTGCAGATCAAGTCTGAGTAGAAATGCTGTTTTCTGATTTAAAATGGTAGTTGACGGCCACAGGAGTTGAAAGTAAATTTTTTGCAGTATAATTGATGCACCATAGAAGAAACCACATAGCGTTTAGCTGTGAAATCACAAAAGAGCCTTTAACTTCATCGTTACCTGTTCATCAAAGTACCTGTAAATGTTGAAGTCCTTGGTTTAGTGCTGAATCTATCACTAAGCACATTATGTTCAATCAACAAACAATATACTTTACCAGTATCTGGGGTTCCCTTTCAAAATCATTTGATCATGCTCACTGTACAGGTTGGTGATCAGATCATTGAAATCAATGGTCACAGTACTGATGGCATGTTGCATTCAGAGGCTATTGACGTCATCAGGAGAGGAGGTAATAGGGTACGTCTCCTGCTTCGTAGGGCTGGACCACCCCCTGCTTCAGGTGAGTATCATAGTTAGGAATCCACCCCCTTTCTAGCCCCTCCCTACAACTACCCCCCCCCTCTGAGGCATTGGTAGGAATGATATTTTACTTGTATGCTTTTTTAGTTTCCTCTTTAATTGCTGTTGTTGAATAGAGCATGGATGATTCTAGCCTTGGTTAAGGTGTTCGTCATTCGTTGCAGCTCAGTGCAGTGAGCACCAGCCGCACGAAATCAAGGCGAAGAGTGACCTCACCCGGTCTAAGAAATGCAAATCAGCTGAATCAGGACGAATGCCTTGACCAAGGCTAGGAAGATTCTACAGATTTGACAGTGGCACTCAGAGTGCATACTGTCATACAGAAGTTTCCTGTTAATGTTTTGAATGAAGCTATTGCCAAAAAACAGGCAGTTTCTGTTCTAGAAGAAATTTTATAAACTCATTTTTCCAAGCTATTCCCAGTCATTTTTCAGAAGTAGCAAAAATAAGCGTTTCATCTAGCTCAATTAGTTCCATTTTGTAGACAGATAATGGTTAGGTTTCATTTGGCTTTATAAAATTCTGATTTGAGTTAGCAGACTTGATTAATTTGCTGAGCTCATCTTATGTTTTGGACTCCCTGCAGGATTCCGGCCCAAATTCCTAAAAGACCAAATCTATCTGTCCTAAAATGTGTTTTCTCTTTTGTTCTGCTTTGTGATTGAGGTAGTTTGACCAGGGGACTTGTGTTGATTTCAGACAGTAAGTTATGTCAGCCAGTGACTCAAAGTGTGAAACGACAAATTGTTCATAGCGTAGCTGTTCCACATACTACTTTCTCTAGCAAAATTAGTGGGAGAAAAGTGCAAAGACCGATTGCAGTGTGAAATTGTCTTGTGCGTCAAGTTGTGCAGTACATGTTTCGTCTGGAGGAGTGAAGCCAGAATTCATGCTGCAGTTTCCATTTCTTTTCCGTTACATGCATGTTTGTGTTATTGTGTGTGTGTGAATGAAAAGTGTCCACTTCTGGGGTTCTGTTAAATGCATTTGGCCTGAATAAGTTTTGCTTGAAGTTTTCAGCATGAACAGGTATTTTTCAAACAGTTCAAATATCTTGTTATATTAGAAGTGCATTCGTTTTGTAGTATCAATACTTGTATTTTGAGTTGTTTTTCCTTAAAGATCATCAGTTTTTTTATTTTCACTCTACATGTATATATTTGTAAGTTTGTCATTTGAGAAATGAAAAGATCTTTTGTGATAATAACACCAATTTTGACTGTATTAGGGACATGTGACAGCTATATTTCAGCTTTCACTAAACACATTGTCCCCCTTTTCCTCAGACTATTTCATTGGATAACTTCTGAACCTTCAGATTTCAAAGTTTATTTATTTAAATCAGATCTTCCAACAGCGCATTTAGCTCCAATTACAGGATGATAGAAGACAATGAAGAAATGTTCAGTTTTAGAGGTTGGAGGAAAACCCCGGGTAAATGTTTTGGGGAAACCCATGGACTCAGGGAGGGACTGAAAACCTAATCCACATATGGACTGAGCCGGATTCAAACCCAGGCCCCCAGAGGTGGAAAGCGAGGAAAGAAACACTGCCCCAACCTGACTCCCCTAAGTAAAAGATAAACTTCCCTGAAGTTAAAACAGTTTTAGCCCTTGCAATGTTTGAGCTAGAGCCATCTCTCTACACATCAGGATGTTGTGAATGAAATCATCATCATAGCCCAGTCATAGTACATGTACATGTAGCTTTGTGTGTTGAGAGTTCATATCCAGTCCTTCCCAACCTAACTTGGCCCACCTACCAATCTGCCCACCATGGACCACATTCCCAACCCTGTTCCCATAATGATACAAATGACCTTATCTTCCCCTACGCCTGCCCACATCTCACCCACCCTGGCCCACACCCCAACCCACATCTCTCCCTACTCTGGACCCAAATTTCCCCACCCTGACCAACATTGAGTTTCCTCACCACATCCTTCCCACCTTAACCTACATCTCCCCACACTAACCCCATCTCCCTCCAACCCCCCTTTCCCTTCCCTCACCCCATATCTCCCCGTCGTGACTTCTCCTTTGGCCCATTCCCACATTTCTCCATATTACTTTTTTCATCGTCATTTCAGTCTCTCTGCCTTGCTGTCATTTCTCTTTCCTGAATACTCTAGGCTTTCAATCCTGATCGTCAAAGTTTTTAGCAGCTGTTCATGGTAAGAATTGGTAGATGCATATTCATGCACAAACTGCAAGAAAACTATTGCTCAAATACATATAGCTGTTTAATATGCATGATTATGAAGATGTAAGCTTAATGACTAATGTCTTTGTAATGTAATACATGTACGCACAAGATACGATATGCCCTAGCTATGGATGCACATAGTTCAGTGTGTAGACTAGAGAGCACCGTTATTATAGCGATGGGGAGATCACAGGTTCACATTCCACATTGATTATCGTCTTACTTTATACCCATTTATGTATATGTTGGAACTGGCTATCTGTCATGTACTTGCATGTAGCATGATTGCAAGAAATCACCACATTTCCCATTTCTCACAATATAGCAACTAATCATCTCTGCGAACTGACAGATGAAAAAAAAAAGTAACTGCAACTAACCCATGCACTTCCATTCGTAGAAATCATGGAGATATTACAAGACTGAAGTGGCATTGGCCACTCTATGTAAGGTAGCAATTGCTGACTACAGCTGTTTTCTAGCATTCCTGGTCTGTTTATACAATTCTGACAACTTGTCTTTTTCATAAGGCCTGTGTATCTTGAGACAAATAGTCAAAACTTCATTAAGTAAAGAAAGCCTTGATATATATAGAGAGTATATAAATAGAATTCTCTGTAATACCATTTTGTCAGGAAAAAATCTGTACAGTCAGTGTATATTAATACCCATTGCTTTTAATACCCACAAGAGGATATGGAACATAACTAGAAAAAAATTGAAAAAACTTAACTTGATAGACCCCCAAATCCCTGTTATCCTCATTTCACAGCAAGCTGAAATACCTGTATTATCAAGGCATGAGTTACATGACAAAGTTCATCATCAGCCAATGTTACGTCATTTCCTTTTTGTAATTTACTGTTGTAATTTTTCAAAGATTTATCCAGTAGACTTGCCTACACACGATGTTTAAATTATGCATCTGTCCTGCATCATATGTTGACATTCTTCTTATGACTACGTTTGCATTATTTAGGATCGTTATATGTTTCATAAATCAAAGAAGATGTTCAGTAAAGTTTCTGTGCATGTTCAGCTGGCTAACGATGCATAAACTTCCATATCTCACAATCTCTCAACCCTTTCTCTCTTTTTTTCTGAAAATGACAAGTAAAAAGGTTTAAACAGTGCTCCTAACAGCTCTATAGTTTAGCCTCCTTTGTTTCTTTGACACTGTTCTTTTCTATCACTGTACAAGTCAATCCAAGTGATTGAGTCTTGTTTTACCTGAAAAATATGCACTGTAAGCACTCGCACACTCAGTGACCTCATAAAGAGGGGTCTGTTAAAAGGGTGGGAAATGGAAAGCTACACAGGTCTGCTGAGGTGAGAGTGACGCTCCCAACATCCTGCCCATTTGGTGATAAAGATGCTACCCTGGCAGGGGGAAAGCTTTGTACATAAATGCACAATTGACTTCATTAAATGCAAAACTCCATTTTTGGCCTGTGAGCATCTTGGAGCAGCTGTTTTCAATGCCAAGGCTGACTCTCATTCAGTTATCTTTGTTTTGTCATCACCTGTTTTTTTTTCTTGATTAGATGGAGCTAGAGAGGGAATGTTCAAGACAGGTTCCAACTCGTCTCTTCGGAGTGCAGACCAAGCATTTTACAAGCACCACTATCCTGACCATCATCATCAGTCTAAAGGTTCTAGTCACCAGGTGGAGCCTTTTGACAGTTGGTCTTACCGTAGCCTTCCTAGAGGGATGAGGTACTAGCTATTAGATGGAGCCCCATGCAATAGCTGGTCTTACTGTAGCCTTCCTAAGGGTAAGGGTACTAGCTATCAGATGGATCCCTTAAACAGCAGGTCTTAATGTAGCCTTCCTTGGGGGTTGAGGTACTAGCTGTGGGATGGAGTCCTTTAACAGTAGGTGTTACTGTGGCCTTCACAGGGGGTTGAGTTTCTGGCTATGGGATGGAGCCCTTTAAGGGCTGGTCGTACCCTAGCCTTTCCATGGGGGATAAGGTACTAATCAAGGGATGGCAAGGGATGGAGCCTTTTGACAGCTGGTTGGGCTGATGGAGTTTTGACAGCTCCCTATGGTTCAAGTATGCTGACAGCAGCACCCCAGGTGAAGGTCCATATAATTTGTAAGGTTGTTCTGGTAAGCTTGTTGGTCATTAGCCTGTAAACTGTTGGTGGGAGATTGTCAACAGGTGTACTGCAGTCTCAAAAAATTAACCATTAAATTAGAGGTAAATTTTCCTGCAGACAATATCTTTAATAATGTCATTGTCAACATCTTATCTTCTGCCCTTTTTATTTTTCCCACATCAATACATGTACTTGTCTTTGAAAACTTAATGGCCTGGTTTTAGGGATCACATGCTAGCATAAGCCAGTTCTTCAAGGAACTGTGGATGACACTAGTTATTCCACTTAGCTGCTGTAAATTGTGCTTAAATTAATTACAACCCCTGCATTGTGGGCATTTCTTATGGTACCTGTTGTCTTAAATATATCACCTCCCAAAAACTTGTTTGATATTGGAAAAAAATTACTGCATATGCTGTCAGTTGAAGAATCCATGAGTTGTCAATTTTGAGGGAAAAAGTCAATATGTTTTTGAAAACCAAAACCTTTGCCAAGGTACCTCTTTACAACCATTATTGTTTAACATTTGCTTGGTAACCACACAACAGTTTCCTTCAGACTTTGAAGACTTTGCCTACAATGTGACATATGCTGTATTCAGAGATGAATTTTGTATGTATTGTAACTTTTTGAACTAAAAGTGTGTTCAAAAAACTAAAATGGTCCCATACATGTAAGTATTTTTTTAAGTGTGTGTTTCATTCATTTTTAAAATTTCAATGTTAAACACATTTTAAAAATTTCTTGGCCACGGCAGTCAGGATTTACTAATTTGTTGTCTTTTTTACACATCTATATTTTGTGGACACAATATTCTTTATGGTTTCTTGGGGCCAACAAATAATCAAACAAAAAGTAAGCTTTGGGCTCCTCTTCGTTATTGAAGTAACCCTGATAAATATTTTTTGAAACCATCTTTTAGGTGTGGGATGTTTGTAATTAAATACTTGAAATGAAGTTTGTCAAGTTTCTCTTTTTTTCTTTTTTTTTACTGGCAAGGAAACAGTCCAGATTAAACCAATGTTAACAGTGATGTTCATTTGAGGATTGAAAGACCTGTTTTTTGTACATGAAGATACATACGTATTTGGATGTCTTACTGCATGGCTTGCCTTCATGGTCTCATGTGTTACTACTTTGACCATGCATTTTGTACAGTATTGGTTGTGGGCATGCACAATTGAGGGCAGTGTTCAGCCTACTCACCAGTGGCACGAAGGCATGTGTTGATGGCATACCAGCTTACAAATGCCAAATCATGCCTCGCTGACCAACAGCATATTTTGCACACAAGTGATTGTTGCTTAGGTTGGCTGAAACCATTGTAAGGATGACCCATTGATTCTGCTGGAGAAATGTATTCAGCTGTAATCATTGCTAAGTAATAACATTAGAAGCACAGTCATCCTGCAGTGTATATTTGTCAGTGGTACGACTTTGCATCAGTTTTGTGAACCTATGTGGTGACATCTTACAAGTACATTGTAACGTAACTAAGCAAGCTGGTCCTTGCTTTTCCTGAAGGAAGTAATGTCAAAGTGCCTTTTTTAGTTGATTGCTGTGTAGTACTTAGTGTTTGTTATACATTTTTTTGAAAGTTACATTCAAGTGGATTTATTTTACGTCATGTGCTGTTCCCAAATGTCCACTCGCTATTGTTTCCTGTACAAGCTGGTAAATATAGATTTCCATCTTGTTTTATACTAGTTTATTCTTTCCAGCCGTCTCATTTTTGTACAGGAGTCAGTATCCCTCAACTAATCAGGGAAAGAAATGAACTGTACAAACCTGTCTACAACTTGAAATTCAAATTGTTTTTAAAAGTAGGTTTTAACAAGTTCATCAATTGTAATTACTGTATATAATTGGACCATTAAGTACTTTTATTGACTAATTTGTAATCCTTGCATTGTATTCAGTAGCAATATGTGTAACAGTTTTGTTTTCAGTCATTTTAATTGTACATTTAGTTGAGTTTGAGTCTTTTAGTGAGATTGTTGACACTTTACAGTGGCTTAGTTAAAATCACACTGTGAATTCTTAATACGCATAAAATATCCATTGCTTGAAGCCAGTTGATGGGAGATGCTAGATATAAGATATTGCTCAGCAAGTACTTGTGTTCAGCAGTAGTTAGGCAAAAACAGTCACAGGCAGTAAACAGTGCAGGATATTTAAACCAGTAATCACTTTTGCAAAGCAACTGTTTTTCTCTTCAGTATCCAGTATCACTGGTGTAGTGATAGCAATCCCAAAGACTTGATGACTCAAAGATAAGTTTGAAAGTGAATATGTTGCCTTTTGGGTGAAGTTCGACCATATTTTTAGCATGATTGTTTTACCCTGGGTTCAATTTAGTTGACTTTAGACACTGTAATTTGCATTAGAAGCACCAATGTTATCAAATTCCTTGTGGCATAAGGATCTATTTCAAGTAAGTGCAACACCAGTGTCTTAGTTCATGTTAGTTTTGTAGGCGAATGCATAGATTTGTGGGAAGAATTTTAGATTTGGGGGGGGGGTTAACTCTGTTTAGATTATTTTGAAGTTATTTTGGGCACAGGGAAGTGGTATCTTTTATTTCATACATGTAGTTTTGCATGCGAGTGTAATCCTTAAATTGTAAAGTGTTTGTTTTAATTTTGTTTAGATATCCACTTGTGTTTAATTTTTCATTTACTTGTGCTGTACATCAGACAAGGTATTCACACCTTGTCTATCACATTCTTGCCACTTTCAGAAAACAGGCATAAAAAGCCCAAATGTGTAAGCTGTAACAGTGAGATGTCCAACTTGAAAGATATCTGTTGCCTTTTATTGGGCTCAGCCAGCAAGCTTTGTAAAACAAAATTGATGAAATCACCAATATATAAATCAAAGAACAAGTGGGAGATTTAGGAATATTTCTGGGCAAGATACAGGTTCTTTTCATTTTTCCATTCTCTGTGATGGAGTCATCAAAGGATTTGTATTTTTGTCCTGATTTATAAACATCAATGAAATACTTTGCTATCCCACTGCTGACACTAATATCAAGGTTTTTAAAGAATCAGTGCTTTTAATGTTTTCTCTCCCAAATATTTTTAACATGTTGAAGAGAAAGAAATGTCATGTTTGTCTGCTAAAGAGACTTGCCATGATTTAAGTGGTTGAAATTCCCACACTCTTAAACCTCGACAAAAATTAGAAAGGTTTTGTGACCTCGAAAACAACTGCAGATGGTCAAAATGTACATCTAGGAGTTCGAAGTAATCACTTGTCAATGCTCCAAATGACTAGATGTCAGTATCCTTTATTTCACTTCATTGTATATAACATATACTTGTTAATTTTGATTTAGGAGTTCCATGTTGGCATTATCCAATTTGTTTGAAGTGGTTTTGCAGTTATTGCTGATGGTAGCTCAGCTTTTTGTGACAGTCCCAATAACTACATAATTAGTGTTTCTAGTTATCACCCCTTACCCAAACTACATCCTTTGTAATTTATCAACAATGCGGAGCCAGAGGTTCACTCAAGATTGTTAGAGTTGCATTCCTGAATTTGGAATTGGGTGGGAATTTTCATCATGTTGTTCACAGAAGTCATTTCCATAGTTTGCATTTCAAGTAAAGATTACCATTATTAAACTAGTTTCTTACTGCTGTAAAAAGTATAAATTTCTTGAGAAAGTATAGTCTCATTGCAAGATAAATTCCATAAAATTTGTAGATATCTGTAACTAATAAAAAAGAAAAACACGCAAGCACTTGATTGGATCAGTAGTTGGCAAGAAGTAAGTTTTTTATATCACTTTTTTGCTTCATTGTATAGGCAATCAAACCATCATATATTTAATAAAACTTCAGTATGTATTTGTCTAAAAAAATTGCCTTTTTGACTTACTTGTGAAAATTCATGAGGGAGTTGCGTAAAAAACCAAAAATGTGCTGAAGAACAATTACTTAGAAATTTTGCTCCTTGCAGAGTGAGGACAAAAGTACAAATAGGCCACAAGAATGGTGATCCAAATGCCTTGGAAAACCTTCATTCTAGATAGTTCCAAGCTGATCTGCTAAGACAAACAAATTTGACAAAGTTGAACAAAGATAACAATATCCAAAAATAGCAGCACTGCAGTCATGACAAAGATAATTACATGTACAAATACTACAAACATCAAGACAAATATTCAAATTATGAAGATAATTGATTGCTTTTGGACAAAACAGTTGGGAAGGTATTTACACACTTACAGTGAGATAATGTAGATAAAGTGCTCAATTTGAAGTCAAGCTTTTTTAATAGATTAACTATAAATATCGCTCACTTTCTTCAGAGAGAAAATAATTTACACCCAAAATAAATCATTTAGCAGCATGTTCACAATTACATCAAATATGGCTTTCTTTGTGACCACAAAACTATTCATTTAACCAATACTGATTGGGATTTTCACGTTATCGGTGGTACAAAAAAGTTGCTCATATCCATTCTGCATGCATTGTTGAGGGCGCTCTTTGTAGGACCCACAAGTCCCAAATGTAAATATTTGTAATTTGCTGACTTTGCCAGTTAATCAGTGCATATGCAAAGTATTAAAGTCAAGCCAACAGGATATTCAGCACACAACCAGTATCTAAATGTATATACATATTGATCATGGTGTACTCTGAAGGGGTCATCACTCTGAAATGGGGTTCATTCCATCTTAGTACACAACTGAAAAAAGGACCATTGTTTTCCCCCATTTGTCTCTCAAGAGGGCCTTGATATGCATGGAGCTTGTACAAGTAACACCAGTCAGATGTTGTAAACCCATTAAAGCAGAATTGTTGCTGGCAGGTTTTCTTGTTAATCATTATCAGCTTGGCACCAGACATAACATGCATATCATCATGTGACAATTGGCTGGTAACTGATTTGACAGAATATTTGTTTTGTTTTGGTCCAGGATTTATTGTCTCAGCGGTGGTGATATTTCATGGAATCTCTTCAACATTGAGGTCCTGACACTCTCCGTTAGCTCTGGCACATCATCAGATGTCAAGCCTTTTGTTGGAACATTTGGAAGTACATCAACTTTCATGTCCACTGTCAAACCATTAACGCAAGAAGTTTTGAATGACAAAAGAATGCTGAGCAACATATCAATAACAAAGACTATACATTCTTTTCACTGTTCTATATCTCTTTCCACCCAACCCAATTACAAAATACATTGAGGGTATTTCAGTTTCAATTTTAAATCCTGATTCTTCTTAGAAATGAAAAAAAATATAAGTAATGGGTACAAGCTTGGTCTAGTAAAAGTACTGGTTTACTTTTTTGACAACATGCTAATATATTGTTGAATTTGAAACAAGCTGTTGCTTCAATATCTCTTGAATATTTTAATCACAATGTTGAAACAAACAAATATAAACGTATTGTGAAATCTGTTCATTTTGATTGCATGCATTCTTGCACTGAAGCAGAAAGTAAAAGCTGGGAAAAAGTTCAACTTTACCTCTGTCAAATTTTTTTTCCTTGGAGCTGTACATGTGACGATATCTTGAGACGACAATAGGGACAATGGGAACCTACAAATCAAAGAACTCATCTTTATAAGCAGAAAGAATTCAACTGAATAAAGCAAACCTTTAAATAGAGATCTACATTCTAAAACTAGAACAGCCATCATGTTCACGATTGATTAGTTACATTTTTGAAACTCTATACAAGGTTTATTTGCAGATAGTGAATTAAATCAGATAAAATTATAAATAACAATAAAATTCTATACCAAAAGCAAAGGAAAAATAAAATTTCCTTATGATTGTACAAACTCAAGAAATGCCAAACTGAATATTTGTGGACAATTACAGCTCTGAGTTCCTGTTTTTTATGGGCAAGACTTTTTCACAGAAAAAAGAAAAAGTCAGTCTATAAAAGAGTCAGAAATACACAAAGCTGATTGAATTTACCTGTGCCTGCACAGCAATATGAAATGCCCCTTTCTTAAATGGAAGCAAGTCTGTATCAGGTGCATGAGATCTGGTTCCTTCTGGATAAATCCATAATTTACCCTGAAAAAAAAAATAAAAATATAAGCCATCACAAGTCATTGGACAGTATTACATTTCATTTCATCAAATTGGTTTCACACACCACATATTTAATTGGGAAGGCTGGGTTCAGGATCATAATAGAATGAAGTGAGCAAATTGTGACTTGAATCTGAAAGGCAGAAAAGGTTTAGGAAACATTTTTAAATAAGAGGATATAATAATATAGCATCTATAGTAACTCAAAACCAAATTGGGGAACTCAAGATTCTTGTCTGAATTTTGAAACATTCATACGATAGTTTAATCTGTCAAATTTCAAATCAAATTTATTTAACTACTTTCTTTGGGGAAAAACCTCCAGTGGACTAATTCTCAAGATCTACCATTTCATACCGGTCAAAAGTGGCTGACCACAATTTGGTTTCTTTAAAGAAATACGCACATACACAGCTGCAAAGAGAGTGGAGAATACAGCTTGTATTCCACAACAGGAATTCCAACACCTGTCCAAAGTCCATGGAATTTGACAATCAGAGTGCTCTGGGTTATCTACAATGCTGAGGTCAAGAAACTTTGATAGCTTGGCGTGATTTCATCACAATGAAAGTGCAAAGTCTATCAAATATACCACATGACTATGGGTTCCATCCAGAGGGTCCCTGGGCTTTTTAAAATGGGAAGAAATATTACATTTGGATTTACAGAATTTTCAGGTACCTACAACATGTTAGACCTACCTTTGGACGCTCTTTTATGGAGAAAAACATAATATCATACCATTGGATTTGACAGTATTCTACAAAACAAGACAGGAATTTTGATGCTAGTTGAATGGGGTAGCATATGGGTATGCAAACCATCTAAAAAGTACAGAAAATTATTTATCTTTTGTAAAAAGCAGATTACATTCATACATGTAGGACCAGCCAATTCATCTTGTTTACCTGGAACCTGCCCCCCCCCAAAAAAAATTATTACATTCCCCCTTAAACTTGTCTTACTCTTTTCAATGCAAAGTTCCCCTTTTACTCTCAACCCTAACAAAGGGTTTCTGGATCATAAAGTGGTGTGTCAAGGGTTTGAGTCTGGGGAGGACAAAGTGTTTTTCTAAAAATGATTGTCCAATGTGTTTCTTCGTTTACTTAAAATTCTCACCCTGTACAGAAAGTTTTAAGTACCATTTATGATGAGTTGGTGCTCTCAATTTCTTTAAAAAAAGGCAAAAATTATCTGCGGCAAGGGGGGCACCCACCCTCGGGGAATGTTCCAATTGGATCAGCCTAAAATACTTGAACCATTAAATTACCCTTTCTTCTTTGAGGAACTTGACGCATCGATCACTAGTCGCCCTTGCCTGAGCTGGATTTTTTCTATCAACAAAGAAGACGCCAGAAGCAATACAGCCAAGCCCATAGGTGAGGGTGTATTTGAGGGAGTTTTTAGCCAAGATGGAACAGCGACCAGGTGCCCAACACTTCAAGTATGCTAAACATGAAAACAACCAAGAAATAATTCACTGAGTTATATGTCATCAGGATGTAGGCATTGTTTACTGCTAAACGTGACTCTCTTGAATACGTGAGATGTTTCATATATTGCTGGGGTATGAAGGTCAAGATGAACACACAGCTTTCTATTCTCCTGATCGCAGTTTTGAGGTACTTTTGTGAAATGAAAGAAGAAAAACGGGCAGGAAGGTTATTTGTGCGCCCCCCCCAAGAAAAATGGTGAAGCTAAAAAGGATCAGATAGGACAATGATCAATAAAACTCTGTGAAGGATATTTATTCACCTCGCCTCTTTTGAGTTTTAGGTTTATCTGAGTGTCATACAAATGTACCTATCCAAATAAAGACAGATATCTTACGAAGCTGGTCCAGTGATGTTTGATGGTTGATGACAAACACGCAGGGTTCATTCACACCTAATCGATCTGGTGTATTTAGCATCTCAATGTGAACGCTAAATAACATTTCGAAGCTTAGGTAATGGGCAAAGAAGTTCCACCACCTATAGAGACATAAAACATGACTGAGATATTGAGTTTTCCTGCATCATTCAAGAATCTTCTTTAACATTACCCTTCATCATAAGTTGCCATGGGGATAGTTCTCCTGATCATCTCTATAATTCAGCCTTCCAATCAATGCAGCTCTCTTTTTTCATTACTAGTCTTAACAACATTGACATTAGCATCACCCTATCACAATCCATCTTCTACCATCACCATCTTACCATCACAACCATTAACTTGCATCACCTTTTTTGATAATGATGTCCAGTACTTGTACGATGTTAAAGGTGCTCTATAAATACCTTTATTATTATAACCACCACTGTTATCCAACTTCATCATCTATATTCTTACCTTAACTAACACACTGAATAAAATCATAAGCCATAATATTCCATTTCCCCTACCCAGATGCTAATCCACTGCAGAGCGAGGGTTATAGGGTCTCCACCCCCCCTCCCTCTCCGGGCCATGTTTTTTTCTTTTCAGGGGCCTAAGTCTAAAGGTTGGAAAATCCCCTAAAAAGCATATGAGACTTATTTTGGGTGTGCAGTTATGGACAAAAGAAAGAGATTAAATGGCTTTGAACACCAAGGGCGACAAAGTTCTTTCTGAAAGAGATTAAATGGCTTTGAACACCAAGGGCGACAAAGTTCTTTCTGATCCCCATCATTTCCCCACCCCCTCCCCCGCCCCAAGTACAAAAATTCCTTGATCCACCCTTTTTTCTCACCTTTTCTACCAAGAAATTAACAGAAATTTAATTACACCTCATAAATCCTCATGCCCAGCTCTATCCATGGAGGAAGGTGTGTTCCTTCCTCCATGCTCTATCTAACCACTATGACTGAATTACCACTGTATGATGACTTGAACCAACGCCCCTTCCACTTTGCAGTTATCCTCAGGCGAATTAAATGAATGACAAGTAAACAAAATGAAGTTAAATAAATACATGTACTTACCACATGTTGGCCGTATCACCGAAGCTGTTGGTTAGTAAGCTCGCTATTGTAACAAGCAAGCCAAGAATGAGATGCCAAATCATAAACATGGTGTACTTAATGTAGAACTGAGCAACCCGATTCACTTTGCATAGCGCATATGACCCAGCAGAGCAAAACACAACCAACGTCAAAAGGTTCATGGTGGAGAATTTGGAACCGTCAGATGGTTGAAGCATGGAGGTAGAATGGTTGAAGTATGATCGGTGGCAGAATTCACTGCGTTTCACTGTAAACGCGGTGGCAATCCTAGCTGCTTCACGCATCAACGAACAATGCCTTATCAAACGGGAAACAGCGATATGTACACGTACATGTGTCACGCCACATCACGCCAGCTGGCCAGCTCTGACCCCTCCGATGCACGCACTGCAAACATATTAAAAATCTGGACGAGACGATCGCTTCAGACGAACTAGGCAGGTGGATTGTACCATTGTCAGGTTGAAGTACAGTACGGTGACGAAATAAGGCGCGTGTGAAAATGTGCATAGGCGGAACGGTTCAAGTATTGGCTTAAGGATACCATAATTTCCTAGTTTTGGGAGAAATAAAGAAATTTCAACCGCAACATGCATACTTATGTCATCCAAAACAATGGTTTATTTTTGGAGATAAACCGGTTGACCCGGCCTTTCATTAGATCCAGCTTAAATTCATCAACTTGAATTATCATTTTTGAGGCAAATGCCTACAAATCTATCGCAGCATACATACGTGAAAAAATTGAGTACCCAAGTTTGTTATTTATGTATAATGCTATTAATTAAAAACATATAAAATCCACAAAAGACTCTAGTTGGGTTGCAGGAAGTAAAACAAAATAGATGCCTTTCAATAATTTTCTTTAATCCATTAATTTTTACCAGCAAATTTTGAGATTAATTAAAAATTAATCAAAGCCCCCCACACTGTCAATGGAAATGTCCCCCTTACCTGAAGAACTTAAACATGACCTAGACGATGAAGCCCTCGCCAACAAAAAAGTTCTCAAAATTGAATTCCCAGAAAAACCTCTGAAATTTTTCAGATGGAATGTTGATGAGTAAGCTGTTGATATTTTTCACTGAGAGCCTTTGCGGATAATTTTCATTTACCTTGGCTAACAAAAATATTAAAGGCTGTTCAACAAATGTTCAAAACAAAATTAGATTTTGCTTTAAACTAAGTAGGCTTGAGTCGCATCCATTGTGGTGCCAATAAAAAAACTACAAAATAGTTTGCAAGGATTGTGGGACAGTCTGACAAACAGTGATGCAATCCCATAAAGAGGGTTAATGCAAAGATATTTACATACAACGGAATATTAACATCAGTATGTTTCCATCTACTTAAAACCAGCCGTTCATTATCACGCACTTAGGCGTATGCATCCCCCTCTCGAGTACATGTACATTTATGGTATAACAAAGGGGCAGGGCACACATTGCATCTTTTCCGCTGGGTCTGCCCCTGACATTGTCTTCTACAAAAATCAACGGAGGTTTAGAGTTTGTTGCTTCATATTTGGTACAAGAACATGATGCTCTATGGTTTTCAAGATGTCAAATTCTTTTCATGTCTGTTTCACACTGATCTCGATCTTGATCAGCAGTCCAGATGCTAATTAGTGCCATCCACTGGGTAAGTTTGGGTGTCAGCCTGAACCAAGGTCAGATCACTAATCGTAATCTGGATCTGCATCAAACAAACAAGTGAAGTCTGGTTGTGCTTCGGTCTTGTCTCACTGCTATTTCTTATGGTAGTGGGAATGTAAGACGTCTGTTTTCTCATCATCACAATAAAGACTTCTTGCTGTGTCTTTCCACTGTCCATATCTACATATCACCTTACAGCTTAGTACATTCATATCACAAAATACTCATTTCATAAGTAATCAAGTTTGGAGAGTATGATCCATCTTTCCTTCTCTCCAATCAGATCTGCTTTGCTACGATGTCTTGTCATTTGTCTTGATAGTATGTGATGCTGTTATTAGCTGACATGCTTGCTTGTGTTTAGACCAATGTTGAACCTGACATTCCCTAAGGGGAAAAGCAAACAAGATACTAAGATATGAAATGTCCAACAAACACAATCTTTCATAACATCTCACAAGTGCTTACTGAAGTACTGATGATGGTGGAACTACTTGAAGTCTGAACTTTAACAGCCCTCCCACCCTATCTATGCCCCTCCTGTGTTTATCCTCTTTTCACAATTCTGAAAAACTGTGGGTAAACGTAGACTTTGTCTTTACGCTTTTACCTGGGATAACTTGTTTCAAGGAGGTACCTTACTTTTAAGCACTTGTAGCTAACAGCTTAAAGTTTGCTCTTTCAAACATTAAAAACAAACATTTTAACAGGTGAAACTAATGGGCTTGTTGGTAAGAATATTGGAGATACACGTACATTCTTTTATGATTATTACAATCTTCTACTGTGATGATGATGACTTACAGCCCGTTCCCACTTGTTCCAACAAGTGGGGGATCTGATCCACCTTTCTTGATCCTCCTCTGGAGTAGGATACAGATCCCCCAATTGGTGGATCAGATCCAGCAATTGGTGGATCAGAT